GCCCCGCGCACATGCGGCGCACGTCCAGCTGCTCCTTCCCGGCAGGAGGGAGACTATGCGCGGGGGACCCGCGCCGCATGTGGCCGGGGCAGCGGGAGGCGCGTCCTGCTGGGAAGGAGCCGCAGCCGCGAGCGGGAGGGAGAGGCGCGGGGCTCCCTGGCAGCAGTGGGGATTCGGCCCCTGCCGCCCACCCGGCTCCTGCCTGCTCCGCGCTGCCCCCGCCCGGACCCACCGCGCCCCGCATATGCCCGTGGCGGGGCGGGAGGCTCCGCGGGGAGGGCAGCGTGCCGGGCCGGGGCCTGCTAATGCCCCAGGCCCCTTTAAAACTTTTTTTTTGCTCCACCCCCCTTTTTTTTGCTCCGCCCCATCCCGATATTTTATACTGCTAATCTGGTCACCCTAGTATGTACTAGGAGTTTGAGATTAGGTATGCATGTAACTTTGTGTATATGTACATTCTGTGGATTTTATTCCCACTTAAATCTCCTGACAAGTCTTACGTGGAGGAATTGAGTCTGATTCCAGTTGGCTGGCAAGTATAACTGAGCTGGGAGGTCCTTAAGGCCAAAGTGAATTGTACTCAACCTTTGAATTTAAGGAGCTTTTGCATCCTTGCACTCCATCTTACTGAACAAACTGGAAGAAAGGTAACCAAACACTTATGGGCAAATACTAAGGGTGATCAACTATTAAAAAAAAAAAAAATTTCCTTAAGATGTGTCTTCCATGCTTTCTTAACTGTGAAAACCTTTCCTACCTTCAAGAAAAGCTGCATTGGAATATAAAACACTTTCCAGACTCTCACTCCAGCTAAAATGGACATAGAATCACAAATTGAAGTTGGAAAAGACCTATTAGAATCACCTCCTCTCTAATCCAGGATTGTCCCTGCAGATATGACTGTTTGTTTTTATGTAGTACACTTTAGAAGTTGGTTTCTCATGAATTAAAGTGGGAGGCATCTATGCTTAGCCTGACATATATCAGTATAAGAATCTTGGAGATTCCCACAGCCACAAGACTTATGCTGATCTATAGAGCAGCGGTTCTCAAAGTTTAGCAGCCCTAGGACCTCCATTTTAATTTAAAAAATTTTGGGGACCCCCAAGCATCCCCTGCTCAGCCCTTACCCTGCCCACCGGTCGCTGTATCCCCCCTTCCTCCATGGCGCTCTCTTCCCCATCCTCACTCACTTTCACAGGCTGGGGCAGGTGGTTGGAGTGCAGGAGAGGGTCTGGGGTGCGGGCTCTGGGAAGGAGTTTTGGTGTGGGAGGGGGTGCGGGCTCTGAGTATGGAAGGGAGTTTGGGTGCGGGCCCTGGGCAGGAGCAAGTGGTAGGGGTGCAGGCTCCTGCTGGGCGGCGCTTACCTCTGGTGGCTCCCGAAAGCGACCGGCACATCTCTCTGGCAGCAGCTCCTAGGTGCGGGGGCCAGGGGGTCTGTGTGCACTGCCCCTGCCCACAGGCACCGCCCCCACAGCTCCCATTGATCACAGTTCCTGGCCATTGGGAGCTGTGGCGTTGGAGCTTGGGGCGGTGGCAGTACAAGAGGGGGACTTCCCCCCCCTCCAGCCCCAGAACCACAGGGATGTGCCGGGAGCAGTGTGGAGCCAGAGCAGGTAGGAAGCCACTGCGCCCACTGCGCCGACAGACTTAGCGTAAAGGAGTTGAGGGAAGGAGTTAATCAGCAGGCTCCATGAGGTACCCTCAGGGACTCCCAGGGGTCCATGGACCCCAGTTTGAGAGATGCTGCTTTAGATGTTGTATTGTCTGACTTCTTATACTCAACCAAAAAATTGTCCTGTTTTTTCCCTCACTGGGAAGTTTCAAACTGCATCTCAGATGTTCTGTCTTGATGTGTGTCATCAAGTTGCATGCATTTTATGTTGAGATCATCCTTGGAAAGAGTGCTTTGGGATTATATAGTTGCCCAATTCATACAGAAAGAGAAGTTTTAAATACTGTTCTAAAATGTTCTTGTTTAGCTTGCATATTCTAAGTAATCTTGGCTGTATTCGTTTAAGGTAGCAGTGTTTTTTGTTTTTTGAAATTAAACGTGACCTAATATGTACTCTTCCGGACATACAGGCTAGGGCAGAATAAACAGTGTCTGTAACTGAATAAATGTATTAATCATAATTCTTGCCATGATCAAAATTAAACCAATTATACAAAGCTAGTACATACACTTAGGACCTGAAGCTGTACAAAATTCCTATTGAGGAATATAAGAATTCTGCACATAGAAGGCTTGCAGGATTAAACCCATTTTCAAACCTTCAGTGCAGTAACCAGCAATAATACCAGTGTGGGTAAAGCTAACTCTTACATGAACCTGATGTTTCTTCAATGGAAAATAGGCAGACTAGCTGCAGCTGGTATATCTACACAAATTTAATTCACAACTGATCTTCTATGTGCTTGCTATTCTTATCCTGTGCTTCCTTTGATCAGAGACAACTATTCAAGCTATGTACTGAGAAGGACAAATCTACACAAGTGATAATGAAAGTTAAATGGCAGGCGATTTAACTAAACACAGTGCCTAACTCATGACTTCTTTTCCTAGTTGTGGAAAGCCAGAGTGAATGGCTACGAAGAAGCTCTGAAGCTTTTTCAGAAAATAGAAGATGAGAAAAGCCCTGAATGGTCCAAGTATCTGGGACTAATAAAGAAATTTGTGACAGACTCCAATGCGGTGGCTCAGTTGAAAGGATTAGAAGCAGCACTTGCCTATGTTGAAAATGCTCATGTAGCAGGAAAGTAAGTCCTTTCTCCTTCCTAATGATATGTTTTTGTGATAGTTAACATGACCTTTCTAGGAGGAGCTAATTTGCCCTGTGCAGCTGCCACTTTCAGCGTTTCTACCATGTTTCCCATTTACTTCCTGATCTGAAGAAACTGTTTACTGGATGGCCAGTTGCTAATGACTCTGCTGTGCTGTGACTGTAACTTCTTGTATTCATAAGCTCTGTGACAAAACAGTGTGTTTAGTATTCTAAATCCTAAAAAAAATTTCTTTCTGAAACAGGAAAGACAAGTAAAATGCAATTGAATGTCATAAACTGGGATTCCTTTTCTCACTTGACCATAATGCATTAAGCAGTCTTATAAATTGAGAAGGGTAGAAGTGGAATAAAAAGTTCAAAGTTAAAAATCCTTCAAATGAAACTGCACTCCTCCTCAATTGACCTATATAGAGTGAGAAGAACACATAATTAGCTTTGGAGTCAAGGCTTAGATCAGATTGCCTGGATTATGTATGGTAAAAATACTGTGTGATTTTAGTTTTAATGTACAGAATCCCAGCAAACTAACAGCCCTTGTGAATCATCATGATTGTCAAACCATATAAATGAAAACTCATTCAAATGTGTTGAGTGATCTGGTCTATCATCCAACATAGTGTACAGTGTAAGGTTATAAGAAATCAGGAGCTGCTGTTTGCATGGTAGCTGTTCCTTCAAACCTGCTGAGGTTTAGAAAAGAGCCATCTGGGTTAACTTTCTTCCTCCTGACGCAGGGTGGATTTGATTTAAATCACATTGATTTTAAATCACTAGTCAGGAAGACTTGATTTAATCATGGATTTCTACATAAAAGTGTTAAGTATCAGGGGGTAGCCGTGTTAGTCTGTATCTACAAAAACAACAAGGAGTCTGGTGGCACCTTAAAGACTAACAGATTTATTTGGGCATAAGCTTTCGTGGGTAAAAACCTCACTTCTTCAGATGCATAGAGTGAAAGTTACAGATGCAGGCATTATATACTGACACATGGAGACTTGCAGGGAGTTACTTCACAAGTGGAGAACCAGTGTTGACAGGGCCAATTCAATCAGGGTGGATGTAGTCCACTCCCAATAATAGTTGAGGAGGTGTCAATTCCAGGAGAGGAAAAGCTGCTTCAGTAATGAGCCAGCCACTCCCAGTCCCTATTCAAGCCCAGATTAATGGTGTTAAATTTGCAAATGAGTTTTAGTTCTGCTGTTTGAAGTCTGTTTCTGAAGTTTTTTTGTTCAATGATAGTGACTTTTAAATCTGTAATAGAATGACCAGGGAGATTGAAGTGTTCACTTACTGGCTTATGTATGTTACCATTCCTGATGTCCGATTTGTGTCCATTTATTCTTTTGTGGAGGGACTGGCCGGTTTGGCCAATGTACATGGCAGAGGGACATTGCTGGCACATGATGGCATATATAACATTAGTAGATGTGCAGGTGAGTGAGCCCTTGATGGTGTGGCTGATGTGGTTGGGTCCTCTGATGGTGTCGCCAGAGTAGATATGGGGACAGAGTAGGCAACGAGGTTTGCTACAGGGATTGGTTCCTGGGTTGGTGTTTCTGTGGTGTGGTGTGTAGTCACCAGCATCTGTTAGTCTTTAAGGTGCCACCAGACTCCTTGTTTACATAAAAGTGCATTCTTGTTGGTAGTTATAACCTTAATACATATTATTCACAACTCTGAGATAGATGAGACCCAAACTGGGTCTCTTTTACGGCCTACTGCCATTATAGGTTTTCCCTTCTGGTGAGAGAAGGTATGGTAGATCTCAAATCAATGAAGGCTAGACTCAGACCTCAAGACTCCTGGAATATTCTGCTCAAACAGTTTCACTTTTGTTTCTACTGCTTTTCCCTCCCTTCTCACATTTATCTCCAGACTACTACTCCTTGTCCAGATCTATTCTGCCCCCAACAACTATTCACTGAACTTTTTGAAACTTGTGTATTTCTCTCCTTGTCATAAGGAACTTACAGGAAATAGTGTGGGACAACTTGTTAGTTTTTTAATAATAAACAATTTTTTAATATGTAGTGAATTTTGTTAGTAGTCTAATCATTTCTAAACTTACGCTCTATGTTGCAGAAAAAGTAAAATGGGGAGGGGAAGTTTTGCAATTAAATGAGTCAACTTTCAGAATTTAACTGGAAAATTCTTATGCTCTAGAAATTTTTAGAAATCAAACAAATGGACTTTTTTTATCTCTAGTTCAAAACTAGTAACCCATTTCACCATGTTCGTTAGATGTAGCATTAGAAACTAGCATTAGAAGCATTAACCTTAACTCAGAACGTTAAGAAAACACAGCACACCAAGAAATTGTAAGTGATCTTCTCTTGTATACTGGAGAAGTTAAAATTGTCATGCTTTTGGGAATTGCCACATCAGGCTAGAGACAGCCAGAACTGGTTGTATAGTGAACAATGGTGTTCTAATATCGCTGTTTTTTAATTAAAAAGAACAGAAGTCTTTAGAATAGACTGTCCTTCCCAACCAAAGTGCAGTATTGCCAGCCGCAATAGTATCCTAGATTTCTCTTCAGATCGTATAAATCTTTTACCTTTCTCTGCTTCCATAGCCCAGGGTATATCTACATAGCAAAGAAAAACCCGGGACTGGCCAATGCCAGCCAACACTGGCTCATGGGGCTTTGGCTGCAGGGCTATTTCATTGTGTGAAGACTTCCAGGCTTGGACTGGAGCCCGGGCTCTAGGACCCTCCCACCCTGCAGGGTCGTAGAGCCCAGGCTCTAGTCCAAGCCTGGAAGTCTTCACAGCAATGAAACAGCACCGTAGCCTGAGCCCTGCAAGCCTGAGTCGGCTGGCGTGGACCAGTTGCAGATTTTTCTTGGCTATGTAGATGTACGTCCACTTTAAGTTCAGCTCAATGAAGAGAGCATCTGTGTTGGAAATTTTTACTCTATATTTCAAATGATAAAATTGAAGATGCGAAATATTAGTACCTCAGACGGGAGTTATATAAAAAGTCCTGTCAATAGTTTCAAAACTATAGCATATGCTAAATTCCAGCACTTGGAATATCCATCCTGATGGTGCATACCAGCATACTTTCCCTTATTAATTGAAGGAGGGATTTGGAAGAGAATCTTTTTTCCTCATCCCTCAAACCCACTCTTCTATGCCAACCTTCTATATTATCTAAAGATTTTTAAAAGAAGCTAAAGGACAGAACATATAATTCCATAACTGCTGTATATGAACCTCCCTCTTTTCCTGGTATCTCTTTGTACTATACTTAGATTGCAAGTTTCTTGAACATGGATTTGCATCTTTTTCTGTGTGAAGTAGTGTATACCTATGAGGGGGCAGTGTGTGTGTGTGTGTGTGTGCGCGTGTGCGTGTATGCATATATATAATTTCTCTCACACAACTTTTGGTGCTTTGGAACTCCTAAAACTAGTCTCCTCGGGTGTCATGCTGTTCTGCATGCATTGAAAAATTAGTGTGTGTGTGTGTGTGTGTGTGTGTATATATATATATTTTATTTTATTTATTAGTGGTCCCCATTAGGGTGGGTTCCATTGTGCTAGCACTGTACAGTCCCTGCCATGAAAAGCTTTACAATCTTAAACAAGATACAACAGGCACATGAAACAAGCGTAGAGGTGGGGAACACTCGTTAGCTAGTAAACTGCATGTGTGGTACCTAGCCAAGTTCAGTAACATAGTGGAGCAAGTCTTTAGGGAATGTTATTGCCATGGTTATCCTAAATAGGATCTAGTTTCCAGAAGGTGAGGCTTGCTTAGTTATCTCAGTATTACTATGTGTGAATATGCCTCATGGGTCGTAGAACTAATTACGTTCGCTGTTCTGTCTGCTGAAAACTAAATATGTCATCTGTTTTCAGGACAACAGGAGAAGTGATTTCTGGAGTTGTAAATAAAGTGTTCAATCAACCTAAAGCCAGAGCAAAGGAGTTGGGTATAGACATATGTTTAATGTATATAGAAATTGAGAAAGGGGAACCTGTACAAGAAGAGCTGTTGAAAGGCTTGGACAACAAGAACCCTAAGATCATAGTAGCATGTATAGAGACATTGAGGAAAGCACTGAGGTAAGTTCTCTTGTTTCAACTCCACATGCTGTTAAGTAACAGATAATTTAGATAAGGCTGTAGGTGGCTCTGGAATTTGGTATTGTTGAATCTTCTAGATTGTAATGACTTCAGTGAACTGAACCTTTTTTAATGTCCGCATTTGCCCTGACAGGGACAGTGTGAGAATTAGTCATGTGAGTGTTTTCTCTGCAATTACTGTTCTTGTATCTTGATCAGTTTCAGTCTTGGCAATCTGTTTGCCAGACTTTGTTTAATGAAAACATTTTCTTGAATGTTAGGTCCAGAGCTATTTCCCAGCAGAACTATTGATTCCATGCTTGGGAACTTGCCTCTTCTGAACAGATAAAACAAAGTTGTTGAATGAACTAGAACAATTGTAAATAAATATCTTTGAGTTTAAAATAAAAATGGTTGTGTCCTCCCCACAAATGCTCCCCCTGCTGATTGCTAATGCATAAAATAATATCTATTAGTGTGGTGTTGATGAAACACTCTTCACTTGGGATATTAACAGCTTTCACTAAAGAATTTGATATTGTTCAGGTCAGTCCTAAAGCAAATTTTAAATATCTTTAATTGCATGCACACCAAACCAAAGGAAAGATGCGTCTTGTATTGCTTTAAAATAAATGATTGTGCAAGAACTGGTGAGCAAGGGAATTTGTGGGTCTGGCATAGTCTAGGAGTTTCTTAATAGGAAAGGCTATAACATACTACTGAAACTTCTCAGAAGCCCAATCAGTGTAAGTGTAAAATTACATTTAATTTTAGACTTACAGCATATCTTGGGTACAAATGTCACATGAAGTGTCTTACATGTGTCAAATCTGCAAAAAAGGAATTTTGCTTATAGCAGTTTCTGAATACTTTTCAATATATTTGCACTTTCAGATTTTTAATTCAGGAATTCCATGTAGTATCCGTTACTTAGCTGTCCTCTTGATCTGTAGACTAACTTTTAAAAATATTCCCTTGGAAGTGTCTAATTTCACCAGTATGTGGAGTTTGCCAAATCTCTGTAGTATTTCTCTTTGCTAAATGTAGGCTTATTATCATTGTTTTCCTCTTCTCTTCCCCCCCAAGACACTTCCCCCCCCCTCCCTTTTTCTCAGTCTAAATATCTCTAAATTTTCAATATCTGATTATTGTGTCTGATGCATGATCCTATCAGTATTTGGTATGTGAAATAGAAACTTTAAGCATAGGAATCTCTAGAACAGATACAAATGGCCAGTATTGAGTCCTTCTGAAGAGAGCAACCCCCTAATAATCAGCTAGTTCCTAAAGCATGAGGATCGATTGCCTTTTGTTGTTATCCCATCTACTGTTACTGCAGATGATGTCCTATGTCTAAAGCCTATTTTTAATTCTAAGATGTATGCCTCTGTAGTAGTGTCCCAGATTTAAGAGTAATTATCAGTTATAAGTTGCCTTATTTAATCATGCCATATTGTGCTATAAAAACAAACGGTGTAGTTGGGAATCCTGATGAGCCTTCTCTGCCACTTATCATGTTTCAGCTCTAGCTCATTCTGTAGTTACGTTCAATTCTTTAAAATAGTCTATAAAATTATTTTATATCCTTCAGAGATGAGATGGTAAAACTAAATTCTTTATTCAAGGTGGAATATTGACCCGTGGGACTAGACTGTTTTTTTTTGCATTTTTTGCTGTATTAATACAAGAACAGAGATCTCTGCATTTGTGGCCCATCCTGTGTATCAAGCAGGCATCTTTGAGCTGTCTGCATTGGTGCCTAGCTTTGTCAAGCGTGTAACCAATTAGAACCCATTTGTTTTAATTAGAAAATGTTCCTTCAATGTGCATTACCTCACACTTCTCAGGTTTTAGTCTGTTGTTGTTTCCCTGTTAACTAGCTAAATTCTTCCATAGTTATTCACAATCATTCCTAGTCTCTTGACATAATCATGTTATAGGCTAATGTATGGACCAACATTGGCCCTAGTATGCTTCCCTGGGAAACTCTGGTATATATTAACCTTTCCTTGCACAGGATTGGTGACTCATTTGTATTTTGTATCTTAATCCATGATTGAGATGTTCCTCCTGCAGCTAATCTGTTTCTTATAAAGCTTCTTGTAAACATCTGATAGCATAAGAGTACAATAGCACCTGACCAGTTCTTAGTAGCTGAGTATGGAAAGAGTACTGATGTGCTTCCATTCAGTAGTGATTGAAAGCTGAGACTTTGTGCAATGGGCACAAGGGCAACTTGCAGAATCTGGTACCAAAGGGTGGATGACCAGGTGTGTGTGCAGGGAAGTGTGTCAAAGCGCACACTTTCTGTGAGATGACCCATGGCTCACTAATCTGGTCTAACAAATAGCAAAATGACTAATGCTTTTCTGCAGTGTGCCTCCAAGGGATAGTCAGAGGAGATTCTAGTGTGATCAGAAAAATAGGTCACACAAACTCCACTCTAAAGAGGTTTCTTGTTCTCTGGCAAGGGGACAGTCTTAAGCAGCAGGTTGGATTATGTGCTTTGAAGTGGTTTCAAAAGCCTGGTTTTATTATTCCAAACTATATGAAGGAGGGAAGGAATTGTGATAGAGCAACTGTTCTTTAACACAACAAATGAGTAGCTTCAGATTGGTAAATGATGGCAATGCATGTTAATATGTAGAACCATTGCTGATAGTATATATTATGACACAGCCTCTGAAAGGCATCAGTTTATACAATAGTTCTGTCTAGGACCCCAGCTGTGTCAAGATAATAGCTAATTAATGTTGATGGTCTTTGTGGCTAAATTTGGATTTTGCGCTCTGCCATTGACACCCGTATGTATTCTTCTTAACTTTCAGTGAATTTGGTTCAAAAATAATCTCACTAAAGCCAATTATCAAAGTGTTGCCAAAACTCTTTGAGTCTCGAGAGAAGGCTGTTCGAGATGAAGCCAAACTCCTTGCTGTAGAGATCTACCGCTGGATAAGGGATGCTCTGAGACCACCATTACAGAACATAAACTCGGTTCAGGTAGGCTACAGGAAGTATCTATCTGAGCAAAGTTTTATGAACTAAGGTTCATAAATATTCCAGTGTTCAAACTAATTCTCATAAAACCCTGTTATATACCAGGATGAGATATTTTTACCTGAGCATGTATTTTCTTGAGCCTTTCTGTCTTACTGAAAACTGTTGCTGTCTGGTAAAAACACTTAACTTTTTCTCTCTCTATAAAACAAAATTATTTTTTTCATTTTTGTGGCTTCAAAATGGTAACTAAGCAACATTCTGGTTAAAGATGCATAGCAAATCTGTTCACTACTTCTTCGGTGGGTGAGAGGTAGGAAAAATACCATATCCAATTGCAACTAGAGGGGGAATTTAGGTGGGTAGTTTAGATTCTCCCCATCTCTTTTGGGCAACTACACTTGCCATCTGCTCCCTTTAAGAACTAGGTGTCAGGGTCACCATTCTCTCTTGGCAAAGAAGAGAGAACTTGCAATGTATTATAACAAAAATAAATATGTTCTGGTAATGTCCAGGATTTGATAGGCATTGTCTATGCACAGGAAGGTCTTAATGTAATAGCATGGTGTTATGGAAACTAAATACTCAATCTTCAGAGCTTTTCAAATGCCCACACATCCATCCCCCGTTTAATTGAGTATTGCGGTCAGATGAGAAGTTGTTGCTTTTAAACAGTAAGGTAGTAACATCTCTGGTATACAGAGATATTCAAAAAGATATTCCTTTTCCTGAAAAACTGAATTACCAGTACTGCTTTCTACAACTAGGTATTCAAAGCTGGGCTGACCCAACCCTGCTTACCTAGTGACTTTATTAATCTCTCTGCATGCGATGGCATGGCTATAGCATAAGACTTTAATATATTCAACCCGCCATTTTTCCTCTTTATTTAGATCATAACCTCTTCACAAAAGCCAAAAATAACCTTTTCCCACTGTTCTAACCAGTTTCTATTGTAGTAAACATTCCCCTCACCCCTGGTAATATTTCTATGCACTATAAATATAACTAGTCAAAATCCTAAACAGTGAGTTTACCATACCTCTGGGAGGAGGGAGGTTAGCTTTGTAGCCTCTCGTCATCTCTAGATGACCTCCTGAGGTCCCTTCCAACCCTGATATTCTATAAGTTCTATAAGCTCTATCTCCATAATAGGACAAATATTGTAGGATTACAATATCATTGCAAGTGAACTGAAAGGATAGCACAACCAGATTATAAGATTAAAACCTAAAGAAGAAAATTCCTGACAATTGGGGCGGGGGGGGGGGGGGAAGTACCATTGCTTTTTAATAAAGTGGAAGCTTGCCTGGAGTTATCCTGTATCAGTGGGTGGAATGTTATGTTTCATGCTTTAGGCCTTGAGAATTATTCTTGTGATTCTTACAGCTAAAAGAGTTGGAAGAAGAATGGGTCAAACTACCTCCAGCAGCTCCCAAACAGACCAGATTCCTGCGTTCCCAGCAAGAGCTGAAAGCCAAATTTGAGCAGCAGCAGGCAGCTGGAGGGGATGCAGATGGAGGTAACCTATGTGGTGATGGTACTCTACTTGGAAACACGTCATTATTAAAAGACACAGTAAGAAATAGAACAGACCAGAAAGGTGCATTTAATTAAGAGACGTAAAGCAAGTGGGGCACACCATCCTATCAACAAGACACATTTGGGGGAAAAAATAGTATTTAACATAATCCTAGTAGCAAAGTAGCAAAAACGTTACCATTCATAGTCCACTTCCCCTCTTGTCTTTGATGAAGGGAACATGGGGGATGTGTAAGAATGAAATTTGACTGACATGACAAGCCTCTCTGCTAAGCTTGCATACCTCCACTAATCTTCTCTTGACCTGCAGGAGGAGATGATGGGGATGAGGTTGTCCCACAGGTGGATGCTTATGAGCTACTGGAAGCTGTGGAGATTCTTTCCAAACTTCCCAAAGACTTCTATGACAAAATAGTAAGTATAAACCGCTACCTTTTATCTCTGCGATATTGAGAGGTGAGGGCTGATGGACTTTCAGACTGACATACATCCTGCAAATAGACAGTACTGTTACACGAATAATAGGGAGCTGGCTTGCACGATATAGGCCGTCTAATCTGCATAAATAGGTGTAAAATCAAGATAGAAACTGAAATGTGAGTGCATTCCAATGGCTAGCTGTAACCACCAAGCTTAGAGTATATGAGGATACTAAGAGTACTTGAATTTCTTGGTACAAAGTTAGGCTCTAGAGTCTACGGTCTGTCTAGAGTGAGCTTTCCTAGAGCTGTTAGGTGTCTGGTGTACACAAATGTAGAATGCTTTGCTTTGCAGGAAGCCAAAAAGTGGCAAGAGAGGAAAGAAGCTCTGGAAGCTGTTGAAATGCTGGTGAAGAATCCCAAACTGGAAGCAGGGGACTATGCAGACATGGTGAAAGTTCTTAAGAAGGTAAAAATGGCTGTACCAGTCATATGTATTTTGCATTTGTATATTGCAGCAGTTAACTGCTTAATGCCAAAAGATTAGATTTTAATGCCTTGAAAGGCCACCACTGGTCATAAGACCAAATACTGGCACAATGCCTATGTCCAAATTACTCTTAACATTACACCTTTGATTAACAGACCCACCCAATAGGGTGGTGCTTAAATTATTTTGGTTTGCTTCTGTCCTGTTGAACATTGGGACCTGTAGGCTTCTCAAATAGTATGAGAATCCAACAGACCTTTCCTCCAATAATACATTTGGGTATGTGCCTCTTTCTACAGACACTTGAGAGAAGTTTAGGAAAAAATGGGATGGAGGAAAAATACTGAAAATATAATTATATAAATCAGTGGTATGCTCTCATCTTGAATTCTGTGTTCAGTTCTGGTCACCCTTTCTCAAAAAGAATATAGCAGAATTATAGGGTATTATGACACACAATTGGCCTGTAGAACACATTGCTATGTAACATCAGAGGCTAAGAGCTTAACTGGATTTGGAAAAGGATTGGATGATTATACAAATAACAAGAATATTCAGAGTTCTTCTAGTAAAGATTTAAAATAAAAAGATATAGAAGGGCTATAAACCCCATTCTTCAGAGAAAAAGGAGAACCTCTAATGGGTGGGGTTTAGGAAGAAACTTCCCCTTTGTCCTGTAACACTCCGGGTAGGTTATTGCACAACTTCCTACTGCAGGGCTTCTTGCACCTTCCTTTGAAACAGGTGGTGCAGCCCACTGTTGGAGATAGGTTATAGACCACTGATCTGATCCAGTGTGGCAGTTCCTATGTTCCTAACCTTGTCCACAAGTCTCTAGGGATTGATCATATTCCTTCCACCTTCAGACCAAATGGTCTCCTTATGAAGGTGCAAAAATAGTGGCAATTTAATGCTTTCACTTGATTGTATTACAGTCCTAACTTTCAGATCTGATTTTTGGGGGAGCAGCATGCAAAATCCTTTCCCTACTCAACGCTCTCTTAGGGGACTGCAGTTTTCTAGGGCTTTGGCTGCCGGTTTGGGATTTCACAAGTCCAAGTAGAGGAGATTGGTACCTCCACAACCTGCAGCTCTTCATAAAACTGCCATTTTTAGACACACAAATGGCACTACATTGTAAACGTATAATATGTACATGCATTTAGATGTATGCTTTCAACGGACCTTTTTAGCTCCCCATCCAAACACCTGGTCTTAAGTTAATTCCAGTCTGTATTTATTAAAGTATAGTTCTGCAAAATGGGGAAGACTTGTCTCATCCAGCCCTTGACTTACTCTTCTATCAGAAATCCATATGGCTTCCTGTCTGAGACTTTCAAGTTAGTCAGGCACACTTTGTTACTGGAAAACTACATCCTTTTAAAGGGAGTCCTGAAATGTACCTGTTTGAGATCAACCACTCTCCCCCCTCCCCCCCCGCCCCCCATAAATAAATAAATAAAGCCCAAGGGAACAGCTGATGCTGGCTCCAGGGTTTGTACAGAGTTTCCTGCACACCACCACCTTCCTTCAAGATGCACTGGGAACTGCAGCTGCCTGGAACCCTCCAGCTCTCCCTCCCCCTTGGCAGTGTCTTGTATTTACTAGCTGGAGAGCTGGGCTCTGCTGGGTCCAGCGGCTCTACCACACCAATTCCATGGGGAAAAATGAAATTCTGCACAGATCGTTAATTCTGCATAAATTCAGCATTGCACAGTGGGTCAGAATTCCCCCAGGAGTAATTTAACATAGTATGATGGGAACTTCATTGACTGGCTAGGACTACTACAGTTCACTGATTGAAGCAACATTTATCATTCAGTGTACCAGGACAGTGATGCAGTATCCTTCTGGGATTGAATGAAATTATCCGGCCCAGTTCAAGTTGGTACCCCAAGTAACTGCTTCACTCTTAACTTTGGACAAATTCACTGTTGCTGCTGTGGCTATTCTTTCAATGCAAGTAGCACTCTGCCTAGACTTCTGATTCTCTGATATCTGTTTGCCTGTAATGTTGTCCTTCCTTTGCAGGTTGTTGGAAAGGACACAAATGTCATGTTGGTTGCTTTGGCTGCCAAATGCCTTGCTGGACTGGCTACCGGCCTCAGGAAGAAATTTGGACAATATGCAGGACAAGTAAGTAATAGGTACTTCACTCTGCATTTCCTCCTTCGTATATGATGACAGTAATAAAACTGCTTTAAAAATAACTACTCCTTTTAATGACTGCCAGGGCTTGGTATTTCTCTTTTTAAACAAAGTAAACTTGATATGCGTATGTTCCTTCTACACTTGGATACTTGCTGGATTAAGGGGTGAAAGTTTCCAAGTATGTGCAAATCTTTAGTCGTGGTATTAAGTTACAAGGTCCTTGTTTGTTTCCTGTTCTTTGCTGCTAAGCATGAGCAGGATCCAATGTCATTGCAGGAACAATTCTTAAATTCCATGATATTTAATTTGTTGTTCTGCCCTCAAATACCCTTTATTCCTATTCCCTCATTACCAGAGAAACACCCACAGAAACACAGATCTGTAGCTCATAGAAGAAAATATTCACTGACCTAGAATGCCAAATGTTGGGGAAGAAGGGGAGCTTGTAGCAGACTTCAGTGGCTTATCTATCTGATTTCTCAGGCCTCAGTTGATCATCTGCTCTCTAGGCCAGAGGTTCTCAGGACAAATTATTTGGTGGCCTCAGTGTGGCCACCAACTCTTGCTGGTGGCCACGCTCACTTTTTCCTAAAATACTCCAATTAGCTTTAGGAAAAACAAATAAATATGCATAGATACATGTCCAAATCACTGTAATTTATTTATTGCTAGCTAGGAAGTCTGTTAACATCACGGTTCACAGCGGACTTACTCAGCCCTGGGAAGTCTGGGGACAAATTAAGCCCTGGATGGGGGGAGCAAGGGAGGCGCCAGTGGGCAATGGAGATGGGGGGAGGTGAAGCCTGAAGCCCCGGGGCTGGATTCCAAAGCCTCCCAACCAGACCCTGCTTCCCCACCACCACTGGGCTGAAGCCCAAATCCTGAGCCTCACAACCCCTGGAAAGATGGGGAACTCACCGGTTGCTCAACCCTTGCTGGAAGCCCAAGCAACCAACACCAAAGCTGTGCATCCATGAGCACCAAGGAGGGGGCAGGGCCGCTGCTCTCCCCTAATGACACCTCAAGAGGCTGTGGCCACAAGAAAAGCCCCTGGTGGCCGCATTTGAGAAACGCTGCTCTAGGCAGTCTAGCTTGCCAGCCTCAGCGTCTGGACCCAACTTTGGCTGTCTAACGCTCTGTTCTTCTTTGAGTGATTGCTCATGTGTATTCCACAATAGGTGTGCATGCTCGCCACATGCACCGGTGCAAGAAGTTTTTCCTCTTAGCAGTACCTATGGGGGGGAGCGACCCCTGGAGTGGCACCTGCCTGGTGCAGTATAAGGGGAGCTGCGCGCTCCCCCCACCCTCAGTTCCTTCTTGCCGCCAGTGAAGGCGCGTCGGAACTACTCAGCTCCAGCTTTACTGCAGCTTGTCCCCAGAACTCTTCGTTCGTTCATTCATTAGTACCTGTAGCCAGTTGGCTGTTTTAGGTTAGTTTAGTTAGTTAGGGAGCCCGGGCCGGGGCATGCCCCACGCCCTGGGATTTAAGTCGTGCAGCTCTTGTAGGCATTCTATGCCCAGGAGTGACCCGCACGCGGACTGTCTGCGCTGTTTGGGAGAGACCCATATCAGCGAAAGGTGCAAGATCTGCAAGTCGTTCAAGCCCCAGACCAAAAAAGAAAGGGACATTAGGTTCCGGGCAATCCTGATGGAGTCGGCCCTGGCCCTGACCCTGGCACACCGCTCTGAACCGGCACTGCGGTGTTGGTACGCAGAGACCCTGCGGTACCATCGACCAATCGGCACTGCTCCCCCTCTACGGGGCATGCCAAGAGGACCAGAAAGACTCCCTCTTCGCAGCGGCACTGAGGGAAGTCTGGGACAGAGGCTAAGCCCAGGTCGGGCAGTCCTCGATCTCCACCGGGCCCTAGGCCTCTGACTCGCGTTGAGCGGAGTAGCCCAGCCCCTTCGGAGCAGGCCTCTCCGGATGTCTGGATGCCATCTACGCCCAAAGCTCTCCAGGTGGCCAGGGACATCATGTCCATGCCAGAACCGGAGCGCCGCGGATGTTGGCCCCACACTCCAGGGGCAAGCCGCCTCAGGGATCGCCACACTCACCACCGGGCCGGTACCGGTCATGGTCAAGGGAACGTTCCTGATGCCGCTCACCGCCCAGCGACCGTTCAGGGCTCAGTCCATGTGGATCGCCCTCGACACCAGCCAGACTTTCCGGATGGGTGCCGTCTGACTGGAACTCCCGGCACCACTAGTCTTCGTGGAGCGAACTTCGACGGGACTGTGGCAGAAGTAGCCAATGGTCCTCGTCTTGAAGGTGGTACCGCAGTCGGTTGTGGCACGACCATCGATGCCGTTCCTGCTCGGACTCCTACTCCAAGTCTCCGCCAAGGCACCGCAGCCCTGGGCGTCAATCGCTGGCATCTCAGTCGTGGGTCTACCTGTCGAGGCTGTTCGTGGAGCAGCTACTAAAGTCGTTGCCGTTCCTCTGCATCGAGATTGTGGTTCCCGTGGCCGACGTAGATCCCGGCACCGCTGCTACTCCCGGTTCAGAGGCAGCAGTGGCTCATACGCCAGCCCGGCCTCCGCTCATAGCCACCCGTCAACAGGCCAGGCCAGTGGCACCGAGAGTAGAGGCTGGCCCAGTGGGCACCATGGCCTCTGTTGCAGCCCCCAGTGGGGGCGCACTTGGTGGCTAGAGCACCGTCAGCCTCCCTCACTATACTGTCCAGGAAGGAGTCGGTGGGACCCGTGTCTTTGGTACTGTGCCCGGAGTCCAACCAAGTGGTAGATCCTCCGGTGCTGGCCAACACCCAAAGCACTGCGCCGGCCTTCTCGCTTCGCCTGGAGGAGGTGATCGCAGCCCGCCCCCCTCCGTGTCCTGCGAGAGGACTACAGGGCCCACCAAGACCTCTTAAAAAGGGTGGCAGCAAGCCTCCACCTCCAGGCAGAGGAGATGGAGGAGCCCTCAAGCTCCCTGTTTAATGTGCTGTCCCCCTCGGCACCGGGCAGGGTGGCCTTGCTGCTCCACGAAGGGGTGGCAAGAATTTCAAATGCCCTGTGGCAAACACCAGGCTGCCTCGGATGCAGCGGACATGGCCGCGCGGTGCATGGCCTCAGCAGTATCCATCAGACGGGCATCATGGCTCCTGCTCTCTGGGCTGTCCAGCAAAGCGCAGTCTTCAATGCAGGATCTCCCTTTTTGATGGGAAGGCTGTGTTTGCAGAGGAAACAGACACAAGGCTGCACGGCATGAAAGACTCCCGCACAACCCTCCAGACCTTGGGCCTCTATGTCCCTACTCCGGCAAAACCCAAGTTTAAGCCACAGCAGGCTCCTGCCCAGGCCATCCTCCCAAAGTATGAGACCGCCCATAGGAAGCAGCGGGACTATAGGAAACGCCCACAGAGGCAGTGTCGGCCTGCCCCCCAACTTGGGGTCCTCTAAGGGCAAGCAGGCAGGTAAAAGGCGTTTTTGACGGGACACTTGGGGATACCCCACCATTCTCAGCAGCGATCCACCCCCAATAAAGCTGCCTTTCTCCAACAGATTGTCTGCTTTCCTCCTGGAATGGTCGTGGCTCACCTCGGGCCGATGTGTCCTCAACAGATGCCCCCGGTTCTGCTCTCGGGAGGGCCTGGGGAGGGGCGCTATCTCCGATGCCTTTCTCCTGTCCTGGTCGGGCCAGCTTCATTATGCCTTTCCCCAATTCCCTCTAATCAGCAGGGTCCTGGAAAAGATAAACAGACAAGGCCCGGGTCCTTCTCGTAGCCTCAGCGTGTCCCAGGCAACATTGGTATGGGACCTTCTCGGGCCTGGCAGTGGCTCCGCCGTGGCCGTTGCCACTCCGCCTGGTCTCTCAGGGCCAGGGCCACCACCTCCATCTCAACCTAGCAGCTCTTCACCTCAGTGTGGCTGCTCAGTGGCCAGGTGGTGAGGAAAGGACATGCTCGGAAGAAGTTCAGCGAGTCGTCCTCGAAAATAAACGGCCCTCCACTTGCCGCTCCAATTTGGCAAAGTGGTCTCGTTTTTTCTAGGTGGGCGGTGGACCAGGATGTTTCCCTGATGGCCACCCCGCTCCAGCTTATCCTTGATTACCTTCTCCACCTGAGGGCCCAGGGCCTGGCGCCCTTGTCAGTCAGGGTGCACCTGGCAGCCATTTCAGCCTTCCATCCCCTGGTGCAAGGACACATGGTGTTTTCTCATGCTATGACTGGCTGGTTCCTTAAGGGTTTGGACCGTCTCTACCTATATTCTAAGACCCTGGTACCACTGTGGGACCTGAACCTGGTGCTTGCTCATCTTATGGGGCCCCCTTTTGAACCGTTGGCCATGTGCTCCTGGTCTCACCTCATCTTCCTGGTTGCTATCACGTCGGCCAGGCGGGTCTTGGAGCTCAGGACCCTGACCTCCAAGCCACTGTACGTAGTCTTTCGTAGGGACAAGGTCCAGCTCTGCCCACACCCTGCGTTCCTCCCGAAGGTGGTCTTCACCCTACCACGTGGCTCAGGACATTTTTCTACCAGTTCTCTGTCTCAAGCCTCATGCGACCAGTGAGGAGCGCTGTCTCCACACGCTTGATGTACGTCGGGCCCTGGCTTTCTACCTTGAGCGGACCAAGCCGTTCGGAAAGTCCTTGCAACCGTTCGGCACCTCAGCCAAGCGTGCAAGGGACCAGCGGCTTTCTAATTGGATCACTTCATGCATCCGGTCCTGTTATGAGCTGGTGGGTGTCCCCCTCCATCCACTGTGAGGGCACACTCAACTCGGGCACAGGCCTCATCGGCTGTCTTCGTGGCCCACGTCCCTATACAGGACATTTGTAGGGATGCCATGTGGTCTTCGGTTCACACGTTCACCTCTCACTATGTGATAGTCTCCCAAACCAGGTTCGACAGAGCGGTACTCCGTCCCGAGAACTTGTGAACTCCTACCCACCTCCAGCAGATATAGCTTGGAATCACCTATTGTGGAATACACATGAGCAATCACTCGAAGAAAAGTGTTACCTTTTCATAACTGGTTTTAGATGTGTTGCTCATATCTATTCCACATCCCGCCCTCCCTCCCCTCTGCCGGAGTTGTCTGGCAAGAAGGAACTGAGGGTGGGGGGAATGCTCACCTCCCCTTATACCACACCAGGCAGGCACTGCCCCCCCTACGGGTACTGCTAAGGGGAAAAACTTCAGGCACTGGTGCATGTGACAAGCATGCACACCTATTGTGGAACAGACATGAGCAACACATCTCGAACACCAGTTACGAAAAGGTAACTGTCTTTTACCGGGCTCCATGGTGTAGTGCAGGGAGTATGCACTATAATTCAATTAACTCTCTTGTGGAGAACAAATGGGAGCTGCAAGTAGGGCCTAGTAGAATAGAGAGAACCCAGGTACCTGGCTGCAGCAGAATGACGCATTCAGTTGTAAAAATGAGTGTTGACATTGGGGAAAAATGCCAAATCTTCTCTGCTGCAGAATCACTTGAGTCCAGAGGGCCTTGATTGAGATGAATGGGACATTGTCTGTCTGAACGTGTTTTAGGCAGACACAAGCAAGCATTATTGCCTCTGTTTACACTTGGTTTGTGTTTTAAAGGTTAGCCCTTATAGCTGCAGAGATAGTAACATAATTTAAAAGAGGTGAGATTCTACAGCTAAATTCTGATACAAGGAATAGATTCTGTAGTTGTGGGATATGTGAGGTGGTGGAGTTGCTCTGAGTACATGCTCTGTTCAGTACTGTAATGGGCATCTCTGACTTGCACAAACTTAGTACACCGCTATTTGCTAGGGAACTTGGTTTGCCTAGTTTTTTTCCTAAGAAATTGGACCTTTCCTGTGAGTTATTGGCCAATATTTTAACATAGCATCCGTTAATCCTCCAAAAGAATTTACACAGTATGAACACTTCCAGAGTCAAATGCATTGACATTCTCTTGAAGCTTCGTTTAATCAGCTTGATTGTAATTAAGTCACTCCACATAGAAATGTATTCCTGATCCTAGCTGGGTGCGTTTGAACCCAGGGTTTAGCAATATGATAGAAACTAATTTATAGCCTAGCGCAAATTGGCTTTTCAGTTAACCAACTGTGACTTTCTTTGTAACAGTCTCATTGGGAATACTACCGTACATTGAACTCAGCAGGCTCCAGGAAGGTCGGTGAAAAGGAGATTTCACAAGTGAATTTCTTCTTGCTGTCTGACCAACTCCCGTTACTTCACCCCTAAATTATGGAACTTTCTCATCTATTAATTGGGTGTCCATACTACATTTAATCTCTTTCCTGAGGTACCAAGAGTCCAGTGGGACTATGGAACTCCCTCTCTTTATTTCTGTTCTATGTCAGTTGTTACACAGCACTCATCATTGGAGTATGAGCATTTTCCAGTAGTGTGTTTAAAAGTGATGTGACAGACTTCTGTCACATGTTGGTCATTCTCTCCCTGAGGGGAGAAGTGTGCAAAATGAAGTGTCTTGTTTTGGTAGGTTTTAGGTATGTGTGCATTCATGTGTGATATGTAGTTTGCTTGTATAGCTCCTTTGGGTGGTATTTAGTAGCTTTAGTGGAGGCTGATAGGAGCATTATCAGGCGGCTGTATTACAGGCCAAAAGAGGCTTGGAGGAATTGGTTGTTTTATCCTGTTTATATCAATCAGTGTTCGGTGCTGGTGCTTGAGTTTCTATCTCTTCTAGTCATTTGATGCTGAGTTTCAGAAAACCAAGTGGGTCAGTATGGGTGATAGGAGGAAGGGGCCTTAAGGATACCAGTGTGTTGATGTTCCAAGCTAATATACAGGGTTTTACCAGATCTTCAATTCCTTGTCTTGAGTGCAGCTATCCTTTCATATACCTTGGAATTTGTTGGAATCAGTGAGTCTTTTGTGATCAAATTGGGATCATAAGTCTTGTTAACAGTCAGGGATCTTTCAGCTTCCAGATATCTTAATGATGTGGTGGTCTGTTCAAGACAGTGGCTGGTTTGTGATGATCTTGAGGCTGAAAATGAAGTTCAGGGTCTGTGGGTTGGCCTGGAGATGACCTGTGAGATCCCTAGGAAGGTGAGTGAAGAAATGAGTTTCTGAGCTTTTGCATCTGCAATCTTTCAATAGGCACATTGAAATCTCCTAATTTTTTTTTTTTGCTTCGTGCTGGCTGTTTCCAGCTCATGCTGAGGCAATAGTCCCATGCAATGTATAGGTATTAAATGTCTGGAAGCTAGTTTCTTACATCTGCTGTGCTGATTATTTGTATAGTTCCTCTCCTTTTGGACTGATAGGTGGAATGGGCCATAGAATGATCAGAGTGGAGGAACAAGTTTTATGGGTAGAAAAATGCCATAGGAAAAACAGATCTGTTGGATACCTTTTAGCAACTGTAACCTGGTTGAATCGAGGGAATGTGTGGTGCTGGAGCAGTGTGTTCCTAAAGTAGTTGTAGGTATGCTGTAATCATGGTGGCATAACAATGGAAATAATGACAATATGTAGTGATGAGCCCAGCAAAAATGGGAGGCATTAATGGTATCAGGCATCCATTTCCTTGACATAAACTTTCTGGTATCATGATGTCCCTAATGCTCTTACCTGCTTGGGGGAAGAGATGGAGTGGAGAGAAGAGGGGTGATGAGTACTTATTTATAGGCTGAATTACAACTGTAAAGTGGCTTTCTGGCCAACAGGTGGCAGCAAAAGCTGGAAGAGCAGGACTGGGGCTCAGGGCTCCTTCCTCAGAGGGCAGAGCCCTTAGGCAGCCTTCTTCCTGGTGGTGGCTCTTTTGCTGGAGGGGGAGGTGTTAGGAGAAGTGTCTCAGCCTCTCTGACATTTAGAAACCAGAGATTTTTCTAAAATTGTCATAAATGAGTGAAGTCCAGTGCCCTGCTGTTTCTGGTGGTGATAATGGTGGAATATAGGGCCAGCAGGAGCTGGTTCCTTACCATTGCTATGTCCCTGTGGCAGGGGCGAGGGAGGCGAGTTGAGGAATCCTTAACTATGTGCATACACTCATGAATCATGAGGGTGCGAAGTGTCACATGGGGAGGGTTTTTGTTTTTTCTGCAATTAGGCAATTGAAGTATTGTGTGTCCTTTTAAAAACAGGTTGTCCCAACTATCCTGGAGAAGTTTAAAGAGAAGAAGCCTCAGGTTGTGCAGGCCCTGCAGGAAGCCATAGATGCAATCTTCCTTACGGTAAGGACAAGTGTTATAAACTCTGTCAGTACTGTGCTACTGGGAATTGATCATGCTGGTTGTTTGAGAAGACTCTTCTCCTATCCCTCTTCTGAAGCTAACCACCTCACATGTTAAACCTTTTAGACTACATTGCAGAACATAAGTGAGGATATTTTGGCTGTGATGGATAACAAAAACCCAACAATCAAGCAACAGACTTCCTTATTCATTGCAAGAAGTTTTCGTCACTGTACACCTTCTAGCTTGCCAAAGAGCCTGCTAAAACCCTTCTGTGCTGCTCTTCTTAAGGTAAAACCGGATGGATTGATATTTCTGTAGGAAGCAGTGTGTTGTGATGGAAGCATTGGATTGGGTGAGGTGAGAAGCCTTTCTGATAGGATGTACCATGTAGTGAAGCTTTGCATATTCTGGTGCACCAAGTAGAATAACTGGGAGGGCTGGGTGACAACTAGCCTGCAGCAATGGAGGCTAGTTACCTTTATTCCTGTGGAATAATGTTCTTTGGTCCTGTTTAGTTTCCTGAATGGAAAAGACTCTTCTCTATGGTACAGATGGAGTTTTAGGACAAAGAGTGGAAATCACTGACTTAGGAGAGACTCCCAGTGACTAGGCCTGCTTGTGAAATTGTATAAGCTTTTTTCACTGAACTAAACTTCTACCACTCTGTCATAAAATGAAATCGGAGGGGAGCAATAGCTTTAAGATAACTAGTCATCAGTGGACTAGACTAATACCTCCTCCCTTCATACAATCCACTCTTCACCACAAGTATTTCCAGTAAAAATAGGGCATTGCTCTTATAATTTATAATAGTACTTAGTACTCACCTTGTTCTTTACAAATGAATCCTCTCAACAGCATATCAATGACTCTGCCCCTGAAGTTAGAGATGCTGCATTTGAAGCTCTAGGCACAGCTCTGAAGGTGGCTGGAGAGAAAGCTGTGAACCCTTTCCTAGCAGATGTGGACAAACTCAAACTTGATCGGGTGAGCTTATGGATTTGAACAGAATGCTGTATATGTAGTGGCTAGTGAAGTGCTTTCATACCTCTGCAGTGTCCTAGTGTGTTGGTGGGTAACAAACTTCTTAAAACCCATGTAGGGAATAATCCATCTCTAAGGTGTATTATCTCAGGTTTAATGTGGACTAGTATTTAAAAGTGTGATGTTCACTCCCCCCTCCTGCCAGCTGTAACTTGGTCAGTTTAGGATCGTTAAAGGCACTGACTTGAAAAACTTGTTAGTGTACATTAGCTAACATCGCACCTTAAATCCTGATCTAGATACGAGGTCTCTATTATTGGTTTGGAAGTTGTGGAGTCTGTAACAGAAATCTGTCTTATCTCCTTTCTGCCAGGTGACATTTGGGACTCTGCCATCTGGTTTGTGACCCTAGTTAAGCTTCAAATCCTGCATAACACTATGTATGGACTTGTCCCTTCAGGGTGAGGTATTCACCCATGTACAGATGCTGACAGGCTTGTTAAATAAGCTTTAAACTATATAGTTAGTCATTCAGTAATACCTGCTCTAAAGACTGACTTTGCTTTTAACCTCCTTTATAAGGTCTTCCTTTCTATATACACATCTTCCACTTGCATTAATGGGAGTAGTATGCACACATTAAGAGACTGTACTGTGTGGACTAGAAGTTCAAATTGATACCATTGTCCTGTTAACGTTGCTAAGTGCTGCTTAAATAGCATTAGCTTTTTGGCGGTAAAACAAGTTGTATGATTTTCATGTAGCTCCTGGAGCTGTAGTGGCTCAGAGCTGGCTCTGGATTGGTGGCTTTGACTGGTTAGATGCTGCAGCTGTACTTAAATGGCTTTGGTCTCTTAACATTGTTCCTTAGATTAAAGAGTGTGCTGAAAAGGTGGAGCTGGCTTATGGTAAGAACACAGGTGGAGCAGCTGATAAAAAGGAATGCAGACCTGCTGCTGGAAAGACCCCAGTTCTTTCAGGGGCTGCTGGGGACAAGGATACAAAAGACACTTCAGCCAAATCAGGACCTTTGAAAAAGGCTCCTGCTGCCAAGGTAAGTGGAATATAGACAGTCTGCCTCGCACATGATGGCCTGAGATAGTTACTGCTTGAAAACCCAAAGTTGGCCTATTAAATTTCCTCCAGTTGCAGCCCTCTGCAAATCTAGTCTACAAGTTAATCAGAACAAATCTTTTTTCTTCTGTTCCTGTTCTACCTCTTGTTCAGGAGTAGGTGGTATGCAGTAACAGGCTTTAAAAGAATGCATCCTGTACTCTTTCAGAAAGCAATCTGGTGTGGAATTGAGAATTCCACCATTTTTCATCTGTCCACTAAATGATTTTGTGCTTGTGTTTTGATGCCAAGTCCTGATGATGTGATACTGCAGATAGCCCAATGAATACTTTCAAAGGGTTCTATAAGCGATAATGCAACTGGGCGTGCCAGTGTAATACTAACACATCGCTGAAGAGAGAACACACTCAATGACAATATGTTGCTCTTGCAATAAAGATGCTCTGGAGTGTTATATCTTCCTGATTATCAAATGTTGTTGTGTAAACCACCAGTCTGGATAAAAAAACAACTGATCATTACATTTTAAAAAGCTTTAAGCAATACATGGTTATCTTAGCACCCTTCAGTTACCTTTGCTTGGTCAAACAGTTGTTGAGGAATGCAGAAATGAATATTTATATTGATCAGGGGTCTCAAAACACCTGTTTAGTACTGTAGTGAAAAACTAATTTTATTTTTCCAGACTGCCAGCCACACTTTATGGCTAACTGCAACCTCAAAGGAAATTGATTTGATTAACTTGTTGGTCTCGCACCCTTTTCAAACATTAATCCTTCTATTTCCACTGCCTTAACTTCTCACTATTATTTGACCCAACTCCTGAAGTTTACTGTCCTGGAAATATGACGTCTGAGCTAGCCTGTTCATTGTTATCACCCTGCCTGTTGCACACTGCTACTGTTTGTCCAATTACATTGTTACTGAAGACGTAAGTCTCCTTAATGCAGGGGTAGTCAGTATGCAGACTTTTGGGGCCAAATCCAGACGGGCAGACACTTTTGAACGGACCACAAAATCTTTTTGTTTACTTAGTACTATCATGGTTCTTGCAGTGTGAAAAATGTTTCTCCAGAGTCTGGGGCTTGATTATACCTTGACCAAGAAATTGGGCCTTGACAAAAAATAGAGTACCCCGGCCTTAATGTATCCTTGGAAGTAGAGCATGGAATGTTGGAAAGCAAGACCCTTTGATTTTAAGTATTGATTTTGAACTCTGGTGAATTAAGAGCTTGATTGTTGCTAACTCTTGTTTCCTCCTTAGTCCGGGGGCCCTCCCAAGAAAGGCAAGACAGCTGCAGCTGCTGGTGCAGGAGGTGCTGGAACTAAAGGCAAGAAAGGATCTGAGACCAAAGAGATATTTGAACCTGAACTCTCGGTAGGTACTGTACTATATTCTGAAATTCAAAGTGCAATGCAGTATCATGTAAGCAGTGCTAGTTGGGCTATTCTCTTGATTTTGTAGACTTAATGGTCCTGAAGTTGGGATTGAAACACCTGAAGCAGGGGAAAGCAATGGGTTTAAACTGGGACAGTGTGTGAAGAACTGTACATAACTGTTAATCTTGAATTGTGAAGCCTCTAATAAACACACAATCCATTATTCAAATATTAGTGGGGACTTTTATGAACTTGACTGTGGCCTAAGTGTGAGTCCTTTTGCCTCTCAGCTGAACTGAGCTGTTGGGAGGAGTGGGGAGGCTGAGATGTAATTTCTGTGGAATTACCAGGTGTGTAACTAAATTCTATTGTCTGGAGTTAAAAGCCTTGGAAACCTAAGAGTATCCTGGAGCTTGACTCTGAAACCTAGACTGAAATACCCTAGATAGTTCAGTGATTTGCTCAGGCTTACCTATTGAAAACCTAATCTGCTCCTGGGCTATTCAGATTAAATTGCAAAACTCTCAAACTCTTTCTGAAGTGCTTCAGACTGAGATGTATAGTTTGTAGCAGTAGTTATGTTCTGATGAAGTACAAGAAAAAGTTAGAAACCCACAAGGAAGCTGTCTGCGTGCTGAGAAGCAATAAAAAGAAAGTTATTGTGTTTGAACTCCTTGGTGTAGCCTTCATGCTCTAGACTTGTGTGGAGAGTCCTAAGAATGAGAATTTTCCTAGTCATTTGATGCTACTGGTGTAAAAATTGAATGTCTGACAGGCTGTCAAATATGCAGCCCTTGAGGGAGATGCAGATGAAGAACCTAGTGGGAGTGAAAGAATGATATAAGCTCCCTCCTTGTGGATAATGCACTAAAATAAACTTGCTAAGTGCTACTCATCCCCTCTCCTAGAATGGACATGTGAAATGTCTTCTCTACTCTCTCTTCTCTCCCCCCCCCCTTTATCAGTCCTCCTGCTGATTGACTTTGTTCCTCCCTGACTAAATATTCATAATATTTGCAAAGCTGCACTAAAATTTGCTTAACTCTAAAACTAAGAGAAGACAGCACAAGATTACGCTTTGCTCTTCTCCCAGTATGTCTGAATAACTTTTTCTGGTTGCTATGCTTAGATTGATCTCCTCTATCACAATGCACTGGTATCCTTTTTCATAATTTAAATGCCTCCTGAATACCACTTTCACAAGGCCTATAAGCTGTAATCCACATCAGTCATCTCAACTAATGAAAATATTGTTCCTCCTCTCGATCTCCCGTGTGGATCTACTAATTGGTCTCCTACATTGCAAGTGCCTTGAGGCATGGTTATCTCTATGCCCTCCTGCACTTTAATAGTCAGATTACTGCCTGGTATACAAGAGAGCATGCAGTAAGGTGTTAACCTTGTTGTATTCTGTCTGCAGATAGAAGTGTGTGAAGAGAGAGCTTCAGCTGTCCTCCCAGCCTCTTGCATACAGCAGTTGGATAGTGGTAATTGGAAGGAGAGACTTGCCTGCATGGAGGAGTTTCAGAAGGTAAGTATTGTGCAACGGATAGTAAGAGGATGACTTTTTTTAAGAAGGAAGCATGAAAAACTGGAATTAATGACTTTCTGCTGCCATTTAGTCTCAACCTGTTACTCTGACTAGTGGCAGACATTTGCAGAATCTACCAAAATCCCTGCTGGCTCCACACTAGGCAGCAATTAAAATACAAAATGCTGGCTGGCAAACTTCTAGTTTCAAATGCCCGCTGATTGCATCCTATTACATCAGCCTTTACAGCTGGGAATATGAGGGATCTCCATTGTCTCCCCTGGAAGGACACAAACTAAGCATTATGAGTTACAGACACTGCTCTATTTAATGTGGAGCTGGCTTTCTTCCCTAAAGCATCGCTACCATGTGATGCTTTTGGACTGAATCTTACTTTAAAAAGCAGCTACTGCACATCTGCAAATATTTCGTATCCTATTGCAACTGCTATTGAGCTTCAGTATTTGGTATAAAAACAGGCTTAAGTGTAGTGGCATATCTCTTTTACCACAAAGGGCTGCATTTCATAGTCCGATGGGGTCTGGAGCAGCATCTAGCCTCTAAGCAATCATTAAGCATTCACGTTTTCACTAGGATGCAACTTCCCCTCTTGGAATGGATTAAAGAGCAGCTTTAAAAGCTACAAAGTAGACTCTTAAGTCCAAGATGTTTAGACTCCATCCTTATGAGGAGTTGTCTGGTGCAACCTCTGTTTTAAGTTGAAACGGTACTGGGTATGTGATGCAGCTCTCAATAGTTACTGGGTTTTTTTAGAGGATGCTGTTATTTGTCCAAGACAATATTGCCATTTAAAAAAACTTGTTGGGCATGGCTGCTCATGTGTTTGGAGTGTTGTATGGGCGCATGTTAAATAAAACGAAGGAAATAAATACAAATGCATTAAAAAGAGCTCTTGTCTAAAGGACATAACAACTCATAGGCCCCCCTTGGTGTAAAATGAAATCCAGACTAGTTCTATTATCTTGCAGAGAAGCCTAAATTGCAAATCTCACTCCCAATAGTTTCCTTGGATTTTATTTTGCATGTTTTGGACCTAATGGTTAATTTGATTTTGACCTTTTAGGCCGTAGAACTGATGGAGAGAAGTGAAATGCCTTGCCAAGCTCTGGTGAGGATGCTGGCCAAGAAACCTGGGTGGAAGGAAACCAACTTTCAGGTAGACCACTATCTTTTCCTATATATAATTGGTTGCAGTCTCTTGCTACAACAGTAGTCTCTTACTCCATTGTACACCCTCTTACCTGCTAAAAGAAATGCAGATCTTAGGCTATAAAAACGCAACTGCTGGTGGCCGGTTACTTAATTGCTTAGTCAATAAATACAAACTGAGCATGTCAGTTTCTGCTTTAGGATTCTTAGTGGGGCACTTCATTCCAAGTAACTTGTTTTTCTTCATGCCTTTGTAATAGGGGAACAATCTAAAGGAATTCATATTAGAGACCACCTTTAAAGAAATACTGTTAGCTTCATTTAGGCCTGAACTTGGGCTTTTGTAGAAAATATTTTTGATACCCAATATAAATAGAATTTCTTTTCAGTTGATTTCAGTTAAAATTTTCTGGGGATTTTAACATAGCTATAGCATAATGCTCCTATATCAGATAAAACAATGGTTGAAGGCACAAGAGTTTTTGGTGTAAGCAGTGATAGAAGCACTTCAGTTTTAAAAGTAGTTCTAGAAGTCCTTTTGTCCATCCATTCTTGGGTAAAATATGAACAGCTATGTTTTTGTGGCTTTGTCAGCAAGAGAAGAAAATTGAGTTCTTCGAGTGCTTGTTCATGTCCATTTCATATTAGGTGTGTATGCTCGCCACATGCACCGGTGCCAGAAATGTTTCCCTCAGCAGTATCCATGGGGGACCGGCTCAGGTGCCCTCTGCAGCGGCACCCGCATGGCATGTTATAAGGGGCACCGCCAGCTCTCCCCACCCTCAGTTCCTTCTTGCTGCCAATGACCGTGCTGGAACGTCTGTTGCTTCGGCTAGCATTGATTCCTTTTCTGTTCTTGCAAACTTTGAAATTCTGTAAAATAGTTATACATAGTAGTTTGCTTAGTTACCCTTAGTAGTAGTTCTCAAACTCTTTGTTAGTCCCGAATGGGACCCGGTCAGGGCATGCCCCAGTCCCCAGGCTTTAAGCCTTGCGATGGCTGCAAACGGCCTATGCCCGTCAGCAATCCACCAGCTGCCTAAGGTGCTTAAGTGAGGGGCATGTAAGTGACAAGTGCCATATCTGCAAGTCCTTCAAACCTAGGACAAAGAAGGAGCTCAATATCTGAGAGTGTTCCTAATGGAGTTGGCACTCCGGCACTGGCGTAGTGGTCCAACTCTGCACCGAGCACTGTGGCCTCTGTGCGCAGGGCTCCCCTGGCGCTGTCCACAAGCCAGCACCGGTCTCCCTCCATGGCTCCGGTCAAAAAGCCAAAAAAGACTGAGGAGAAGCTCTCCTACCTCCTAGAAAGGAGAGGGTGGGGGTGAGCCAAGACCCGGGTTGGGCAGCTCAAACCCCCCCCAGCTCAAGTTGAGTGGTGTAGCCCATCCTATGTCTTGACTGTGACTCCGGATAGTAGTGTGGCCCTGGCCAGCTTCAGGTGACGTCGACTCCCAAAGCCCTTCAAGCAGCTCAAGAGATCCTGATGCTCCCGGCGCTGCCCTTCACCAGCTCCTGCGGTACCCCAGTCTTGGGGAAAACCTGTGGGATCTATGCATGTATCCCCACCTCAGCATTCCCCATCAAGAGGGACGTCCCTCCAATGTTCACCTACCCACAGCTGTCCTGCCTCAGGACGGGAGAGGCAGGCTCAGCAGAGCCCTCTTCGGTCCCCGCACTGGGGGCACCGATTGAGAGACTCAAGGCGTACCTCGCTGGTAGATTGGCACAGACTCTCTAAGACACACACCACCTGGCAAGTGCTCCAGGACCAGCTCCGACCATCTTCAAGGGCCCAGAGCCAATCCCAGGACTGATCGGGTACCGGAGATCGCCGGGCCATCATCATCATCTGTCTTCAAAAGGAAGGTCGCCCTACTCAGGATGATCCTCCCGGCAACTGGCTTGGTCTCATTAGACATCCCAGTACCGGTCGAGTAGTGTGAGGCGCAGGGATTGCTGGGTAGTCAACGCAGATCCTCTGATTGTTGTCAGTCCCCGAGAGCCCTACCAAGACAGTCTCACTTGGACAGGTCGGCTTCGGGATGCAGCAACTGGCACCAGTCAGACAAGAGCCACCGCTCAGCTCAATCCTGGTTGCCCGGGACCAACTAATTCATTGGTAGCTCCAGCTGGGAACGAGGTTCTCTGATTGCGGGACAAGCCCCGGTATCGATGGTGCCAACTACATTATCAGAACCAAAACCTGTCCCATTGCCCCAAGTGCAGTGTCCGGCGCCATGGTATCTGTGGAACCCTTGGGGGCTCACCCAGCCTTTCCAGGCTGCTTACTCTGTGTCGGGAGCCTCGGAGAGGCGAGCGGCCTCAGTATCCCATCCCACTCTGGTGCTGGAGACTTCAGGGGGTAAGACCCCGCAGGTCCAAGAGGACCCAGGGGAGCAAGTTGCTGGGCCACCAATGGACATGGGGGTTCCCGTGGCACTGGCATCAGCATTGTCTGGCGACAACGAGAACATCCCGGGACCCCCCTCATCCAGTTCCTCAGGATGATGCCAAGGCGCATCGGGAACTTCTGAAGAGGATTGCTTCTAACCTGGGGCTTCAGGTGGAGGATTTGGAAGAGCCCTTGGACTCTGATGTTATCGGCTCCTGCCAGGGTGGCTCTACCCCTTCATAAAGGGGTTTCTAAGATCACTAATGCCCTGTGGCAGACCCCCTCTTCCCTGACCCCTATCTCTAAAAGAGCCAAATGCAAGTACTTTGACAAAGGGCATGAGTACTTGTACTCCCACCCAGCCCCCAATTCCCTTGTGGTCAAGGCGGTTAACCACAAGGAGAGGCAGGGACAACCTGGGGCCACCCCCAAAAATAAAGTCTCAAGGAGGCTGGATCTTTTCGGATGAAAGGTTTATTCATCTTCCAGCCTTCAGTTGAGAGTGGCCAATTTCCAAGCCCTCCTTGGCTGATACGATTTCAATATGTGGCAAGCCATGGCCAAGTTCGAAGGGTTGCTCCCCAAGGCTTCCAAGAAGGAGTTCTGAGTGATCCTCAATGAGGGCATGACCGCGGCCAGAGTGGCCCTCCAGGCAGCATCAGACGCTGCAGATGCTGCTGCCCACGCCATGGTTTCCGCTATCTCCATGTGGTGAGCCTCTTGGCTGCTCCTCTCTGGATGCCACAAGTTCCTCGTGAGTACATGAACAAGGGGTTCTGTTCCTGGTACTTTTAATCCCAAAGGCCAAGTGCGGTCTACGGCCCATCCTGGACCTGCGAGACCTGAACAAGTACTTAAAGAAATTAAAGTTCCGCATGGTTTTCCTGGCTTCTATTATTCCCTCCTGGATCCGGGAGACTGGTATGCCGCCCTTGACTTGGACTCATATTTCCACATAGCAATCTTTCAAGGACACAGACACTTCCTCCAGTTTACAGTGGGGGGCCCCCACCACTACCGGTTTACAGTCCTCCTGTTCAGCCTGATGATAGCACAGAAAGTGTTTACCAAGTGCATGTCGGTGGTAGTGGCTTACTTCAGGCACTGGGGTATTCAGAGCTACCCATACCTTGATGACTGGCTTGTTAAGGGCAGCTCAAGGTTTCAAGTCCAAAGGGATATTGCAGTGCTTCAGGCCACGTGCTGCTCTCTGGGCCTGCTGGGAAATGACAAAGTCGATGTTGGTGCTGAGAATAGAGTTCATCAGAGCAGTTCTCGATTTGACCTGCACCAGAGCGTTCCCGCTGCTGGAAAGGGTCCAGATGTTGCCTAACATCATCGCGGAAGTCTCCATGTTCCCTCTGACTATAGCCAGGGTCTGTCTGTGCTTCCTGGGTCACATGGCAGCATGCACTTATGTGGTCTGCTATGCCAGGCTCCGGATGCGGCCCCTGTAACAATGGCTAGGGACGGTCTATTCCCAGTCCAGAGACGACACTCCCTTCTCTCTCCTCTCCTTTCCCCCCCCCCCCCGGAAAACGATTGTTACCATTCCCCAGACGATACTTACCTCACTGCAATGGTGGACCATCCGCAAGACAGTCCTGGAGAGGGGTCTGTTCGGCAGCCCCCCTCACTCCATCAAGTTGGTGTTGAATGCCTCGGACCTTGGCTGGGGTGTGGATCTCTGCTACCTCCATACACCGGGGATGTGGTCCCCAGAGGAGGCGAAGTTGCACATAAATGTCAAAGAGCTCCGAGCAGTTCTGATGAACAACACAACCGCTATGTTCTACATCAACAGCAAAGGGGGAGTGAGCTCATAGACTTTGTCAAGAGGTACTCCGTCTACGGGACTTCTGCATCAGCCACGAAATCCACCTGGAAGCTTGTTACCTTCCTGGTGTCAAGAATACGCTGGTGGACCAGCTCAGCAGGGACTTCTCCTCTCATCATGAGTGGTCGCTCCATCCAGCCTGCATGATCTTCCAAAGGTGGGGAACTCCCCAAGTGGCCTGTTTGCTACCAGACAGAACATGAAATTCCCCTGGTTTTGCTCTTGGCAAGATCTGAGCAAGGGCTCCCTCTCCGATGCCTTCCTGTCATGGTCAGGGAGCCTGATGTGCACGTTCCCTCAGATTCAACTAATTGGCAGGGTCCTGGCAAAGATTGAGAGACAAAGCACAGGTTATCGTGATCGCCCTGGCATGGCCTTGCCAACATTGGTTCGGCATGCTCATGAGCTTGTCAGCACCCAGTCCCTGGCCCCTGCCCAACCTCCCGGACCTACTGCCACAGGACCATGGCTGGCTCCTACACCCCAACCTCGAGTCCCTCCATCTCTCAGCGTGGATGCTGCATGGCTGAACCCGGAGGAACAGACTTGTTCGGAAGGAATCCAACAGGTCCTCCTGGGGAGTAGGAAGCCCTCAACCAGGCTGACTTACTTCGCCAAGTGGACGGGGTTTTTCAGCTGGGTGTCCGAGCGTGGCATCTCTCCCTCAGGTTCTTCCATACTGGCTGTCCTGGACTACCTTCTCATTTGAGGAACCAGGGCCTGGCATTCTCTTCCATTAGAGTGCATCTAGCGGCCATCTCTGCTTTTCACTCACCGATCCAAGGACAAATGGTGTTTTCCCATGGCATAACTGTCAGATTCTTGAGAGGGCTCGAGAGACTCTTCCCGCAGGTACGGACGCCTGTCCCGCAGTGGGATCTTAACTTGGTCCTCTCTAGGCTCATGGCCCACCCTTTGAGCCACTGGGTTCCTGCTCCCTTTCCCACCTGTCATGGAAGGTCGCGTTTCTGGTGGTGGTGACGTCTGCAAGACGGGTCTCTGAAATTTAAGCCTTGACCTTAAAACCTCCGAACACTGTCTTCTACAAAGATAAAGTTCAGTTACAGCCCCACCCGGCCTTCCTGCTTAAGGTGGTCTCCATCTTCCATATCAATCAGGACATCTTCCTCCCGGTGTTCTGTTCCAAACTGCACAAGACCAGTGAGGAGAGGCATTTTCATGCCGTGGACATCTGGAGGGCTTTGGCTTTCTACTTAGAACGTACCAAGCCTTTCTGAAAATCGACTCAACTCTTCATCGCTATAGCGGATAGGATGAAGGGTCACCCAGTGTCCTCGCAGAGGATTTTCAATTGGATTACTTTATGCATAAGTACCTGTTACGACCTGGTAGGGGTTCCACGCCACTGGTTGTCAGAGCCCACTCGACGAGATCGCAGGCATCTTCAGCTGCCTTCCTGGTATACATCCCTGTCCAGGACATCTGTAGAGCTGCAATGTGGTCCTCTGTTCACATGTTTACCGCTCATTATGCCATCACTCAGCAGGCCAGGCACGATGCTGGGTTCGGCGGAGTTGTGTTGCAATCTACACGACCGTGAACTCCTATTCTACCTTTTCCGTAATTGGTGTTCTTTGAGATGTGTTGCTCATGTCCAATCCACAACCCACCCTTCTTTCTCCACAGTCAGAGTTTCCGGCAAGAAGGAACTGAGGGTAGGGGGAGCCGGCAATGCCCCTTGTACCATGGCATATGAGCACTGCTCCAGAGGGTGCCAGAGCCGGTCCCCTATGGATATTGCTGAGGAAAAAACTTCGGCACTGGTGCATGTGGCGAGCACATATACTTAATATGGAATGGACATGCGCAACATATCTCGAACACCAGTTACGGAAAAGGTAACTGTCTTTTTCGCCTGTATAACAATGAGGAGATGATCCATGTAACTTGAAAATATTGCTTGAAGGATGTATATGGATTTTAAGTAGTGGTGTTGCATGAAAAGAAGCCTGTAGAACACTCTAGAAGATCCCCACACTTCTGTTTGATCTGTATTTTCTCATCTCTAAGATCAGCTTTGAAGTTTGAATATCAGTTTTAATGATGGAGCACCTTTCTTCACAACACTGGCATGGCTAAATTTTAAAGCATTTAATAGTGAAACCCAGGACTTGCAGTAAATTATGCTTTCTTATAAATTTGAATAAGACATGCCAGTCCAGTAGGTAGGGCACCAGACTGGAAGTCAGCAGACATGATGCTGCTATTGACTTGTGGTATGACTGCTGGTAAGTTACAGCCTCTCTGTACATTTCTATCTGTATCCTTCTTTGTAAAGCACTTTTAAATATATTGATGAAAATTGTTAATAACTTGTTCCAGAAAGCTAATCTGACTGTCTTCCTGTCCAAGCTAAGTGATTTACAAAATCTTAATATGGTGGGTTGTAAGATTTTAAAACCCTTCCAGTGTTACTGTGAGATGTTGCTCTAGTTACTAGTGTCCTGCTAGTTATTACTCCATAGTATCTGTAAACCTACTCTTTATTCTATTTCTACTGGGGTCTTCTGAGATTTTGTTTGACAGGACTTCAGGCTAATCTGAGCTGCATTGTGGTCCAGGCTAGAGCATATAGCAGCACACAAGTCTATTTACTTTCCTAGTATTATGGCTATCTTGTTTGTCCCTCCCAGGTAATGCAAATGAAGCTTCATATAGTTGCCCTGATTGCTCAGAAGGGGAACTTTTCCAAAACATCAGCCCAAATTGTGCTGGATGGTCTCGTGGACAAGATTGGTGATGTGAAATGTGGGAGTAACGCAAAAGAAGCAATGACAGCAATAGCAGAAGCATGTCTGTTGCCATGGACTGCTGAACAGGTCAGTGAGGAATGAATGGAGATTACCTCTGGCTGCCTAGCGTAGCTCATAACTCTCTCTTCTTCAGATATATACCTTATTGCAACCACTCTCTCCTTACAGTAGAGCATTAATTCTGTTGTGCATATATCCCTATCCATCTCAGTTTAACAGCACTGCAAAGTCTTAGCAGGTGCCAGCACTCTTCTGTTATGAGGGTGTTCCATCTGATCCATTAGTGACAATAAAGATTTCAATTTTCCTTTCTATTCCAGGTTATGTCCATGGCTTTCTCTCAAAAGAATCCTAAAAACCAGTCGGAAACCCTGAACTGGCTTTCGAATGCAATTAAAGAGTTTGGCTTTTCTGGGTAAGTCTTGAGATAAGGTATTGAATAGAAAAATTGGGATGCAAGTTTTCATTGTAGGAAAAACTGAGATTCTGCTTCTCTACAGAACGCAGTGTGGATCTATACTGTTCTTTGAAAGACTGCTGAGACAAATGCATCAAGCCTTTGTTCCCAGAGTTCTCTGACATTAGCATTTAACTATGAGCTTCAAAAAGCTATTCAGTCATATAGACGTCTTGGTGGGTCAGGTTAAGTGTTTAATATATCCTTATAGTAAAAATAAGGAAGACCATGAGTGAATACTGATTAGTTTCTTCGAGTAGAGTTCCTATGGATGCTCCATTGTAGGTGTCTGCCACTCTGCACTGCTGATTAGAGAACTTCGGTAGCGGTGACTGTTGGGCCCACATGTGCACTCTCTCTCTCTCCTCAGGCTGTAAGACTTGTACACCTCTATCTTGATATAACGCTGTCCTCGGGAGCCAAAAAAATCTTACCACGTAATAGGTGAAACTGCGTTATCGAACTTGCTTTGATCCACCGGAGTGCGCAACGCCCCCCCCCCCCGAGCATTGCTTTACCACGTTATATCTGAATTCGTGTTATATCAGGGTAGAGGTGTACTTCCATGTAGCCATCCACCAAACCCACAGAAAGTGCCTGTGTTTCCTAGTGGATCATATCACTATCAGTAAAAGGTACTGCCACTTCTACAGAAGGTTTTAATGAAATGCCTCAAGGTGGTAGCAACTGATCTGAGGAGACAAGACATTCGTATCTACCCCTGCTTGGATGACTGGTTGCTCTGAGGCGAAACACTGGATCGATAAGAAGGTCCTACCAGATGATCACTACTCAACTGGCTTGGTTGTTGGAACTCACAAACATGACAAAACATCCCCCTCCATGACAGACACTAAGTACAGATGTGTCAGGAGCAGGTTGTGGAGCTCATCTGAACCATCTGCAGATCCAAGGAACTTGATCCCCAGATGATATGGGGCTACATACAAATGTCCTAGAGCTCCGAGCCATCAGATTGGCCTGTATGCGACAGGTATAGCACCATACAGATCTGCAGTATTTACCTGATAGCTTCCAGGTGGAGGAAGCTCTTAGCTTCTTCATGTAGTGCATGGCTATCAGCTTCTGGAATTGGTGACATTAGAATAGGGTAACACTGATAGTCCTTCAACTCCTGGGAGTCAGCAAAAACTTAGCAGACTTCCTGAGTAGGCAGACAGTAACCATGAATGTTCCTTGCACAGATCGGTCATGGAAGTGATATTCTATCAGTAGGGATCCTCCATGAGAGACTTGTTTGGCACCAAGAAAAATGCAAATTGTTGATTTCTGTTCCAAAGGAGGCCTGAGTCCAGAGTCTCTACCCAATGTCTTTCTTCTGCAGTAAAATAGAGGCTTGCTTTATGCCTTTCCACCAATTCCTTGACTCCCAGGGTGATTTCCAAAATCAAGAGACAAAGCCATGATCACTCTGGTGGCTCCAGGCTTTGTGAGGTAGTTCTGATTTACAGATGTCCATCCAGCTCTCAGACTGTTTATGCCATCACTGCCAGATCAGGTCCGAAGTTCTTCATCCAGACCCGAAGTCACTGTATTTAATGATGTGGTGGTGAAGTGGCTAAGCACCATAGACAGGGATTTCTCCCTGCAGATCCAGGAAATCCTGATACAAAACAGGCAAACTTTTACCAGAATATATTATTCAGAAAAGAAGAGGTTCTTGATATGAGCAGGCCATAAAGGCCCAAACCCAGTGCAGGTCTCAGTACCACAGAACCTTGATTATATTGTACCTCAGACAGGCTAGTCTTTAGTTCAGCTCTATTAAAGTCCACTTTGCCATTCCAGCTTGTTGCCTGCTTTACATTCATGTTTGGTCTTCTTTCATCCCACAGTACTGACGCTTCTTAAAGGGCTGCTACTCACTTACCCACCAGTCAGAGAACCCACTCCTGCATGGGACGTCTATATACTCCTATTGACATGGAGACTCCATTTGACCTTCTATTTCAGTGTATCTTGGAATGCTCTAAACACTACTCTCCTAAGACTGTCTTCAAAGTGAGATGGTCTGGAAGAGCTTGGCTTGTTTGTTAAATACCAGGGAGGGTGAAGAGCTATTTAAGTTAAAGGACAATGTTGGCACAGGAATAAATGGTTATAAACTGGCCATGAACAAACTCAGGCTGGAAATTAGAAGATTACTAACCATCAGAGGGGTGAGGTTCTGGAACAGCCTCACAGTAGGAATTGTGGGTGCAAACAACTTAATTGGTTTCCAGAGAGCTGGACAAACTTGAGTGCAATTTTATGATGGGGTGGCTTGTGATGGTAGGGGGCACAGGGCTCAACAGTCCTGAAGCTCACTTCTGATTTGTCTTTTTTTCTTCTAAAAGCTTATGCTTCAGGGTTTCAACTGGCCGCCTGCAGGGGTTAGGAAAGCATCCAGGAGGTCCAGAGCTTTGATGTGGCACCAAGTATCCTTCAGGTGCTTGGCTTGTTGGTTCTTGCTCATGTGCTCAGGGTTTAACTGATCATATGTGAGGTTGGGAAGGAATTTTTTTGCCTTTCTCTGCAGTGTGTACCTCGTTTAATCATTTCCCTGTTACCATGGGGGGCACTGTCTTTGGTGATGCAGTTCTTTACACAATTCTTGACCTAACTCCCCAGCACTCACCTTCTCTTTAAATTACTGCTTGAGAGTCTCCTATGGTGGAGCATCCATGGGGGGCATATACTTGGAGGGGAAGTTACTTACTTACAGAAACTAGAGTTCTTAATGTTTTTGTTCCTATGGGTGCTCCACCTCCCACCTTCCTTTCCTTCTGCTGTGAAGTCTCTGGCTTCATGGCTGTGAAGGAACTGAGTGGCGACAAGCCTGCTCCTGCCTATATCCCCTTGTTTGGAATACGAGGTGCTGTTCTGCGCAGGCCTGTGAGTACTACTTTACAGTCTCTGATCAAGAGTGTACGAGCATATGCACGTCCTACGGTGGAGCACCTGTATGGACAGAAAGATGTTGAACTCACATTACTGTAAGGTAAGTAACTTCTCCTTTACCTACACTGGCTGTGGTTCTTCCATATGTTGTCAGTGTGGAGCCCATGTCCCCACTTTTCAGAGTCCTTCGCTACCATGAGCTTCACATTCTGAAGGAACTTAAGGGGGGGGTCACAGCCACTCTGTCCTTTATGCTCTCACATGGAGGTCCATGGACCATTGCTATTCAAAAAATGTAGTCTTCTGTATATGGGGAATGTGTGCACCTATAGTGGAATCCATACTGAAAACATCTAGAAGAACCATATTGCAATATATGTAACCGTTTTTTATTCATGGACTAGCTTTTTAGACAATAAAAGGGCTGCCTTCATAGTTATAGTAATCTGGTTTGGGGCAGTATTTCACTGAAAAAGATTATACAACTTTGGAAAGAGCTTTCTGTTAACTCTCACTACCTTTAGGCTTATCTACAAATATAAATGTCTGATGGTTGGAGTTTTGTTGGTATTTAAATTAACTTTTAACCTGTTAGACTGTATCTTCCATAACTGATTGTAGCTGCCTTGCCTCTACTGATGCCTCCTGCATGTTGCCCTGTGGGCTATCTTGATTTCATGATATTCATATTCTCTCTTAGGTTGAATGTTAAGGCTTTCATCAGCAACGTAAAGACAGCTCTTGCAGCCACTAACCCAGTGAGTAAATGTAAATTAATTCTGAAACTTGAACGCTGTCTGTTTAGTTTGAAGTCTATTAAGTGCTTTCTGTTCTATTTTGGCAGGCTGTAAGGACTGCTGCTATTACCTTGTTGGGTGTCATGTATCTCTATGTGGGACCCCCTTTGCGAATGTTCTTTGAGGATGAGAAGCCAGCTCTTCTCTCTCAGATAGATGCAGAATTTGAAAAGGTAAGACCTCTGCAAGCCTTAGTTCTCTCAGTAAATAGCTGGAAGTGCTAACTTCAATATAGTGCCATTTGCACTGGGTTTAGAACGCTAAGTAGGCTGTCTCTTTACTGGTATTTCAGGATGACTGATTAGTAGTGTGCGAGCCCACCACACTTTGGAGGGCATGTAGCCACACAAGTGGGGGGACTTGGCTGTTTTGGCTTTGAATAAGGAGTCGCTCTTCTTTGAGTGATGGTCCTTACGTGTAGCCTGCATGTGGGATGCACATGCGCACCATGTGGCTGAGTGCATAATTTCTTGCAGGCAGTGTCTGACTGTAGCTGTCCTTGTGCTCCCACCCAAGGGGAAAAAGGGTGGTTCAGGCCAATTCCTGTCCAGTTCCTTCTTGTCACCTCATGATTTGAGTTAGAATCTTTGGTGTCCTCAGCTCCTTTTTTAGTGTCATTCCTTTAAGAATTGTGTATAGTTGGTTTTAGTAGTTGCTATACCATAGTATAGCATAGATAGTTGGGGGGAATTTTTTCCCAGCCCCAGGGATTTTCCTCTGAGAAGTCTGGGATTAATGCCAGGATCCCAGGATTCAAAAGCTGTTTTCCTGCCTTTGCTTCTCTTCTGTGAGTGAGGAACATCAATGCTGGCTCTATTGGGTGAGGCTCACATTTCTCAGGCATACAGTGTACATGCGTATCCCATGTGTGGAATACAGATAGGGACCCCATACCTTGAAGAACCTCCAGTTACAGGTAAGTAACATCCATTTCTGGTTTTATGATGAATTCCAGAAGCTGCTGCTTTTTGGAGCAACGCTGTATGTTGAAAAGACATTGCTCTGGGCCACATGACTGAGATATGGAAGTGTGTGAACAACCCCAAATGTAGGATTCTTAAACATCTAACTTGTATGTGTGCCATGTTTGCAGATGCAAGGGCAGACTGCACCTGCTCCAACTCGAGGCACTTCCAGACACAGCGGTGGCAGCGGGGATGATGGTGAGGAAAGAGATGAGCAAGAGGATATAGGAAATGATGTTGTGGATCTTCTGCCAAGAACAGAGATCAGGTGGGTTTAGAGTCAACAAACTAAGGACTGACTCTTTGCTGCTGCATATTCTAAAATGAGCAACTTTGTATCCAAGTCCTTTTCTCTGTTTTGGTTCACTATATCCTTTGAAGGGCATTCACAGAGGAGTGTCTGTTTCATATGTTGTGCTGCTATAATACAAAATGGTACTGGATGTCAGGGATTGGTTTTTTGTTCGTTTTTTCTACAGTGATAAGATCACAGCTGAATTGGTGTCTAAGATTGGGGACAAAAACTGGAAGATCCGAAAGGAGGGTCTGGATGAAGTCACGAGCATCATTAATGATGCCAAATTTATACAGCCAAATATAGGAGAACTTTCAGCTGCCTTGAAGTGTCGTCTCAATGACTCCAATAAAATCTTGGTATGCTACTAAAAATCCTAATGTCTGAAGCAAATTCCTGTTGCAGTCACTTCAGATTATTATTCAGCCTGTTTCAGTTCCTTCATGGGTTGAGTGGGGCTTGAAAAGTAGATTAGTGTTTCATCCATGAAAGAAACTTTTTTTTACTGAAGTCTGTATAATAGAGCATTAAAATCGACATCTGGTCAGTTAATGAAGTGGGTGGTTCCAGGGCCTCTGCCTGCCACTTTCCCCATTGCTGTGTAAAAGACCCCACAAACTGGAAGGATGATATAAATAAGCCAGTCTTTTATGTTCAATACTTCATAATAATATATGCAACACCAGGAGATTAAGTCACTTCTGCCTGAAAATGGTTTTTAAATTGGTGTCCCTTTAAATCTACATGAAACATAACAATAACTTCACCTATGCATGGCATAAGCTATCGCTTGCTATCAAATAGAAGTAAATGCAGGAATAGGCATGTTCTCACAGCCCTTCAAGAGACAAAGTCTAGATAAGCCATAATAGCAGCATGATGTTGCTACTCAGTTCGTTTGTAGTGGGGGCCTGGAGCACAGAACACCTAATAACTAGTTTATTAAAACACTTTTCTTTCTCATCCAGGTTCAACAAACACTAAGCATCCTCCAGCAGTTAGCCATGGCAATGGGCCCAAACATTAGGCAACATGTGAAAAACCTGGGCGTTCCTATCATCACAGTTCTTGGGGACAGTAAGGTAGGCAATCAAGTCTTGTATTTTCCTTTAGGAATGAAGGCTCATCCTCTGTATACTTCCAGATACACTGGGAGCAATCTTCAGTGTTTGACTTAAACTAGCCTAGATGTTCAGAGGCAGGTGAGCGTTCAGACTAGTTTCAGAAGCTTTCTGAATGCTACTCAGAGCTCTGTCTTCCAAATTACTGCAGATTTACTATCCACAGATATGAATACTGTCTGTGCTGTGGTTAAGCTGGTGGCTTTCTTGTTCAATGTCAGTGATGTGCAATACAGCCCATTTATGCACAGTGTCCAGCTCTTTATCTTAAACTGATTTTTAATAAACTCTGCTTCTCAATGTAGATGATACAGCCCAGGTTAGCAGTACTAGGACAGCAAGTTGGTTTGCTGTACAGGTATCAGTACCAGGCCTAGCTCTCTAGGTAGAGTGAGCACTTATGCTACTCCAGTGACTATCCCCAGGTGATGTGTAGCTTTCTGTCCAGTATTTAGCTGTGAAGAATCCTGCTGACATGGGCCCTCTCAGAACGTTTGTCTGAAAATAAGGTATCTTGGAGGTCCTAAACATGATTCTGTTGGAGGAATATCATAAAGGAGATTTTCATTTTTTTGTTGGGTTGGAGTTTATTTTTTACATGGCTGTGTTTTAAATTCTATTTTGCTTAGTGTGATAGGTGCAGTGAATAGATTGAAGTAAATAAGATCTAAGTAGTCCAAACTTAATAGAGATGTCATATTGCCTATAAAACTTTAGTCCATGTAGTCTGGCATCCTTGAACAGGGGTGTAAATTAGCTGCTTCAGAGCAAGCTGTTGCCTTTTCCTTTTTAGGTGTCACTGGGAAGTATCGGGTCATGCTGTGAGTGTGTAGGAGTAAGAGAGAGCATTCTCCTTGACCTCAGCCGATGATCAGGCCCTGAAGTAGAAGTACCTAGGTTTTGGCAGTTCATAGAAATGTAGGGCTGGAAGGGACCTCTGGAGGTCCTCTAGTCCAGCCCCCTGTGCTGAGGCAGGACCAAGTAAACTTAGACCATTCCTGACAGGTATTTGTATAACCTGTTCTTAAGTCTTCAATTATTGTGATTCCGCTACCTCCCTTGGAAGTTTAGTCCAGTGCTTAACTATCCTCATAGTTAGGAAAATCTTTCTAAGTATTCCTTGCTGCAGATGAAGTCCGTTACTACTTTCCACCTTCAGTGGACATGGAGAACAATCGATCATTGTCCTCTTTATAACAACCCTTCAAATATATTAAGACAAGTCATTGGGTACCCTCTGAGTCCTCTTTTCTCAAAACTAAATATACCAAGTATTTTAACCTTTCCTTTATAGGTTAGGTTTTCTTAATTTTTGTTGCTGTCCTCTCTCCAGTTTGTCCATATCGTTCTTAGTGTGCCACCCAGAATTGGACACAGTGCTCCAGCTGAGGCTTCACCAGTGCTGAGTAGAACGGGACAATTACCTCCCATGTCACTCCTTTTAATACACCCCAGAATACTAGCCTTTTTTTTCATAACTGCATCACATTGTTGGCTCATTCAATTTGTGATCCACAATAAACTGGGTTACTGAAAAGTAGCTGGAGGTATCTCCTAATCCTGCCTGGATTCATAAACATGCTAAACCTGTTTTAACCTTCATGTAAGTAATTAACTGCATTCTTTAGCCCTCTTGTGAGCTGTGGATTTGAGATTATCCTTTCATTAGGGAGGGGCAGCCGACAAAATTCTTTCAAAGATGCTCCCATTCCTTTTCTGTGTCAGGCTTTACCTAAACTTGTCTGCTGAATAGTGTATTATGCCTACTTTTCAGAGACTTCTCTGTCTGATAGAATGTGTTGCATTTTGTGATGCTGGGACTTGGGTTTCCCAGCAGTGAACAAAAATGTGAGTTCTTGAGTCCTTGGTGCAGGATGATTTAATCTTTGATGGAAAGGGTGATCTCAGAACCTCCCCAGTTTTTTCTTCTTGCTACAGAACAATGTACGTGCTGCTGCCCTGGCTACCGTGAATGCCTGGACAGAACAGACTGGCATGAAAGAATGGTTGGAAGGAGAGGACCTGTCTGAGGAGCTCAAAAAAGAAAACCCTTTCTTAAGACAAGAGGTAAAGATTGGTACTGTGTACATGAGTTTGTTCCTTGTACCTTTTGAATTGCTGCTTAGCCATAGTTAGAGCACAGCTATAGAAATAAAGGGGTGAGGCTCGTGTAGACTGCAGTAACTGAGCACTGTATCATGAGGGTAAGAAATGTGTAATTCAGTTTGTATACTGACTTGTAACAGTAAAATTTAACAAGGATGGTATTGAGTTACTCTCACTGGTGGTGCTGAAATTCAAACTTCAGTGTTGCTCAAATTAAATCAAATTAAATAAAGGTGCTGCTTCCCTCAAATGAGTCTTCCTTTATGCACAAGTTCTTAAGAGCAGAGCTGAGGTTTTGGGATGTTGCAACTCACTGACCAAGAGTAATGCACAACTCTGAAATGCTGCCCTCATCTTTAGCTTGGAATAGTAGCCATAATGGAGCCTGGCCACTTGAATCAAATTACTTGTATATTGGGATCTGTAATCTCAGTGGGCTGCACTTTAGTGTTGAAGATCAGGATGGTTGCAAATGGTGAATATCTGAGCTGAGTTTTGGTCCCCTCAACTAATTCACACAACTAATTCTGTTCTTATTAAGACTGCTGGTGACTCCTTACCACAATGCGTATTTCAGACATCAGTTATCATATTCTGAAGGGCAAAGCTAACCTCTGCTATCTCCTTCCAGCTTCTGGGCTGGCTGGCTGACAAGCTGCCTACCCTCCGTTCTGTTCCTTCTGACTTGCTTTTGTGTGTGCCTCACCTGTACTCCTGCCTGGAGGATCGAAATGGAGATGTGCGTAAAAAAGCACAGGATGCCTTGCCATTCTTTATGATGCATCTCGGTTTTGAGAAGATGGCCAAAGCTACTGGCAAGCTGAAGGTATTGTTAGACTCTGAGGAAGAAGGCAGCGTATGAATGAGCTTGGTTTGAAAGTGGATGTAATGTCTATGGCAAATGTCTGACTCTTCCTAGAAAGTGATCTTGTGAATGTTGTTTTGAGCCATTTAAAAACTCAGGAATCACTGCTGACTTCAGGTGTGAAATACTTGATCTTCAATGGGTGTGGTTGAAAGTAGTTGCATGTGTTAACTACATTATGACTTCAAATTCTCAAAGCACTGTCCCTTTGGCTAAACTACCTTCCATTTAGCCTCTTGCACACTGCACTTTTAAACTGCAGCCATTTATCCCATGTTCATAGACTATGGCATATCTTTCTGTATGTGCATCTTTCTCTCTAGCCAACTTCCAAAGATCAGGTACTGGCCATGCTCGAAAAAGCCAAAGCCATCATGCCAGCCAAACCTGCTGCTCCTGTTAAGGCATCTTCCAGAGTGGTAGGAGGAGCAGCTCCAGCCAAATTCCAGACTGCATCAGGTAATCTATCTTGTAATGCCGGGAAATGTATGGGAAAGAATTTCCTCAGAATAGAGTAATTTGAAGGGAAACACTAAATTTCAATGTTCAGTTATGCTAGCATGAAAAGCGTGTGTGTGTGTGTGTGTGTGTGTGTGTGTGTGTAAGTAAACGACACCCTTTGGGGAAGGCCTTGTTTACAGAAGTAGGGTATAGAGAATAAGAACCACTCTGTAATGTCCCCTGTCAAGATAGTAGGTTGAATGTCTGTGGAAGATAAGTTTCATTTGTGTGCGGATGGGTTTCATTGGAATATAGAGGCAAGCCAGTTAATCACAAGGTCTTGGTGTGGTACTGGTAAATCACAGGGAAGTCAAGTTATTAAGATTTACTACTGTGGAGTTAGTCACTCCATAGTCTGAAAAGCTTTTAAGGACTACTTATAGAAACCCACCTCTGGGGGCTGGAGCTGCAGGTTCCCAGGGTTTTGGTGCCTTTAGCTTAATATGGAGATATTCTTATATGTGGAGAATCTCTCTGGTCTGTAGAACATGACTGTTGGATTAATCAGGAGCAGAGAGTCAAAGTTCTTTGTGCTTGAAAAGTTGCCGTATGTCAGCCTCGAAAGGGTGCCGCAGTCCTCCTCTGGTGCCTCTGTTGTGGCACTCTGAGCAGCTTTGCTCTGAGCTCTTTGGGGAGGCTGCAGACTGTTGGCTTTTCTTGATGTGTTGTCTGTTTGTGTGTGTTCCCCCTCCCACCAACCTTTGCTCCTCCTTCTCCTTGGCACTTCCAAACTAAGGTATAGGAGAAGTTATGCAGTGTCAGTTTTGAGAACTGTTGTGAACCAACAATGGTAACCTCTGACAGTGGTGCACTGGCTTCATCCTGCCCTCTTGTCCCGTTCTTCTAGCACCAACTTGGAAAGTCACTCACTCTGAATGGTTGGGTTTATGCCTGCCCCTCTCTTGGGCAGTGGTTTTCAAACTTTTTTTTCTTGGCGACCCAGTTGAAAAAAATTGTTGATGCCACGACCCAACAGAGCTGGGGATGAGGGGTTTGGGGTGTGGGCTGGGTGCAGGAGGGGTCAGGGCTCTGGGCTGGGGGTGCAGGCTCTGGAGTGGGGACAGGGATGAGGGGTTTGGGGTGCAGGAGGGGCCCTGGGTTTTGGGTACGGGGTTGGGACGTGGTCTTACCTCGGGCAGTTCCTGGGCAGCAACGCAGCAGGAGTGCTAAGGCAGGCTTCCTGCTTGTCCGGGCACCGCGGACCACACTGCGCCCCAAAAGCGGCCAGCAACAGGTCCAGCTCCTAGGTGGAGGCTCACAAGTGACTCTGTGCGGCTCTTGCCCGCAGGCACCCTCCCCCCCAGCTCCCATTGGCCGGTTCTCGGACAATGGGAGTGCGGCACCAGTGCTCGGGGTGGGGGCAGCACGCGGAGCCCCATGGCTGCCCCGCCTGCCTAGGAGCTGGACCTGCTGGCCACTTCTGGGGCACAGTGCGGTGTCAGAACAGGTAGGGACTAGCCTGCCTTAGCCGGGCAACACTGCCGATGGGACTTTTAACGGCCCTGTCGGTGATGCTGACCAGAGCTGCCGCGACCAGTACTGGGTCTCAACCCGCAATTTGAAAACCACTGCTCTAGAGTGCCTGCGTGGCAAAGCTGTTGAGGGACCTGAGCCTATTTTTCAGCAGCCCCACATAAACCGTAAAGAACAATCCCTGTTAAGCTTGCCATCTAAGACCAGAAACATACTAAGATTGAGGAAAGAGGAAGATTAAAATGCGCAAATTTTTATATACGTTTAGATACGAGAGTTAGTTTCTTGGTGTTGACGTAGTCTGTAAATACCTGACTATTAGCACAGTCAGCTTCCTTTGTGCATCTGAAACCCCTGCTTCTCTTTGTGATTAAGGGTTTTGTTGTCATTATGAGCAGCATCCCTTCTCTGCAGTAGGACTGAAGAACAGGGCAGGACTGAATGTGCTGTTCGTGAATGGACTAATTTTTGCAAAATATGTTTGAAATAATCTCTTATTTCCAAGCACCTGCTGAAGATTCAGGGTCCAGCACCATGGAGCCCAAGCCTGACCCCAAAAAGGCCAAAGCAGGAGGAGCTGCCTCTAAAGCTAAGGTACAGTGATGCCATCATGCAAGACTAATGAGCTGGGTTCCAGTTGGGGAGTGTAATAGCTTGTTAATGGAGCCCTTAGGCTTGCACAGATCACCTCTGTAAAAGCATCATGAGAATATCCAGTCTCTTAAGTGAAAAATGCCCTTCATATCTGTTGTGCTGCTATCATTGTTTTTGCCCAGTCCTACTTAATAGGCTTACCACAGTCTGAAATTCAGATCACTGGGTCTTTAACTTCCCTTACTATAAACCTGCTTGGCTTTTTATCGAATATGGTCTGTATTTAAAATGTATCTTGATAAACTCAATCTTGTATTCAGTTCTAATATTGTAAAATCTAGTTTTGAACAATAATTCTGAATCCACATGCCAGAGAAATTCCCGTCTTTAGTCCACTGCATCCAAGGGTATATCTCTCAGCACAGTACACAAAGGAGATGGTTAAGAATGCAATGGTAGCTACAGCTGGCTGTACCTGAACTGTAGAGTTTAAGTTGTACTCCCATTAGAGTCTGTTTTTTATATTCTGTTACTTTGCTATTGAACTTACCAGATAAGTGGGGCAGAAACTTCAAGTGCTGCTCCATGTGTTGGGTGCCACTGCAACTATAGCAGTTCACCCTGCGACAGATTTGGAACAGGAAAAACATCAGAGGTTAAGGTGTCTTTGTAAACCACCCTGCAGTCACTGAATTCCTTCATCTAAACTCTTTCAAATAAACTAGAATTAACACTGAGTGCACAGCAGGTTTGGGGGCTTCAGGGTCTAAAGGGAGTGATTTAGAGGTACATGTTGAGTTGTCTAACGACCAAGCCTTTTCTGTTGCCTATTGCAGCAGTCTGATGGTAATAACAGTATGTCCAAGGACAATCCCAGCCTGCCCAAGGCTAATACAAGCCTCACCAAAGGCAATACCAGTCTGACAAAGAACAAACCCATCAAGCAGGTACCAACTTAGGGTTTAGACACCCCTAGGTGGCTGGTGCACTGGCCAAGTCTGAAGTGTCCTATCTCACAAAAGGCTATTGCACACTTTGCTGTGGGTTTTGCTTCCACACCACCAGAGCATGTACCTGAGGATTCTAACCACTGTTGCTAGCTTCTACCTGCATCTCGTACACTTGGCCAGCATGAGGTCAGGGGTTGGTGTCTGGCATCACTTGGGATGAAGGGTTGTATTTAGGTTTTGCAGTGCTTTCTGCTCAGTACCACTTTTGCTTTTTCAGGGTGCACAAGGGAAGAAGGTACCAAGTAAGCCCAACCTGAAGGAAGATGATGACAAATCAGGTCCTATTTTTATCATTGTCCCAAATGGGAAAGAGCAAAGAATGAAAGATGAGAAAGGATTGAAGGTGAGACGGATCTTAAGAGCATACTCAATTTTCAGACGTTTAGGCACTAAAGGAAATACATTGTATTACCTGTGAGCTTAGTGTTGCACCTTGTGCAATCCAGTCTTCATTTCATGTCTTGATACTTCAAAGCAAAGAACCATCTCTTATAGGCTGTTTACAAGGTCTTCAGTCTCCATAGCATGTGTAAGAAAGCAAAAATTGTCTCCTAAGAGAACTGGCAGAAGCCTCATTGCTTTAGGTCACTCTTAAAACTAGATTGGACCAAACAATAGAAAAAGTACAATACGTAACAAGCCTGGCCAAGCTCTCTGGGATGGACAAGGTGACCTAATAGGCCTCTTCCATCTCTAAGTACTAGAATTCTGAGAGACTCCACAGGTTTTTTTTATTCTAACACCTATTGTCAAGCTTGGCTCTCATAACAAATCTTAATTTGTAGGCTCCTCTTACTTTGAAACTTACTCTTTTTCGGTTATCTGCTAATAGTTGGACCTCCAGTTGGTTACATGGGCACATATCTGTAGACACGGTTTAAAGATGAGGTGTTTGGCTTAGATATGACCTGTGTTAACACTAGCATACTAGCAAGTACACTGAAGTATTGCTGCTTCCATTCTTATGGCTGCAGAATGCTAAAACTGTGCATTTTTTGGTTGCAGGAGGGAGTTTGCTATTCTCTGAGCCCGTTCTATTAGTTGTGCACTGTGACTCTTGGGTATCAGCTCAGTAACAAGCAGTATATTGCTGGCCTTGAGTTATGAGAGTTCTGTTTTTGTTTCTTGTTTTGAAGGTGCTGAAATGGAACTTCACTACTCCCCGTGATGAATATATCGAGCAGCTAAAGACTCAGATGTCCAGCTGTGTTGCCAGATGGGTACAAGATGAGATGTTTCATACAGACTTTCAGCACCACAATAAGGCACTGGCTGCGATGGTAGAGGTGAGTTAGGGACCTATGGCAGACAACAATGGAACGTGGGATGTCCTTTGCCACGTCCACATACTGCAGCAGTGAAATATCAAGTTAGGAGTTCTTCCTAAGTGGGCAGTAGGTTAGGAGACTTCATGTTACTAGCTTGGGTACCCAGTTCTCAAGTTATAGGCCTAAATGAGCACTTTCAGAGGGACAATACAATTAGTATTAATCTCTTTTGCTGAGGCGAGGGAAGCTTTGTTTACTCAACTTTGGCTACTGCTCTGAATTTTATTAGTGAAATCTAGTAGTAGGTGCCAGCTGCTACCATGCAATGTGGTACAGTTGCTTAGTGTGTAATAGTTGAGCGGTCTCACTAAGGCTTAAAACCCAAAAATCTTTTATGAATCTACAACAGGAAGCCATTACCTATAAATAAATGCATTTTACTGGAACAGACATGGCTTTTGATTTATACTTTGCCCTTCCTCACTTTTCTTTCCATGGACTATACCATTTATGTATTTGATCCTGCACAACCTGATGTTTTTTTCCCTTCATCTCAAGCACTTGGAGAGCGAAAAAGATGGAGTCATCAGCTGCCTGGATCTGATCTTGAAATGGCTCACCCTACGGTTCTTTGATACCAACACAAGTGTTCTGATGAAGGCCCTTGAATACCTTAAATTGCTTTTCACCTTGCTGAGCCAGGAGGAGTATCATCTTACTGAGAACGAGGCATCCTCTTTCATCCCATATCTTATCCTGAAGGTACCACATACTGAGGGAAATTAGGATAATGACTTGCCCCTGGACACTACCAGGGCACCAGCTAATGGTGTAGTTATTCTGTTCTGTACTGCTTTGCTGCAGTTATCTTTGAATAGCATGGGTGGGTGGTGTGGTTGGGTTTTTTGAGTGTAAGTCTGGTATCATACAGACTAACTGGCAAAGTATGCTGCTGGTGCAGAGTATTTAAAAGTGTCTGTCCTGGTTTCTTTTCTTTCTCTGATCATCTCCCCCACCCCCAGGTTGGGGAACCAAAAGATGTTGTCCGCAAGGATGTGCGTGCCATTCTGAATAGGATGTGCTTAATCTATCCAGCCAGCAAGATGTTCACTTTCATCATGGAGGGGACAAAGTCGAAAAACTCCAAACAGCGGGCAGGTAAGAAATAGCACTGTTGGCTGGGAATGCAATGTGGATCAGGATATGCTGGCCATAACATTTTCTGAAAACTGAGTTTTGCCTATCTGATATTTTCCCCAAATGCATAACAACTTTGGTGACAAGGAGAAGATTGTAAAGAAGAAATATCAAGCTTCCTTGTCATCTCTCGCATGCATGCACGCAAGCTCTCTGCCTGAGCCACAAACATTATGCCTCAAGCAGCTTTCCAGTCATCTGGGAGGGGCCTGCTCTGGAATAAGAGTGATTAGGCAGAAAGTGTTAGAAGTCAGTTTTATCTAACCCAACATCACACACACACACAAATGGTTAAGCTGTCCAACTCTCGTTGATTTACCCACCTCCCACCCACCAGTTGCACTATTCCTGTCCTGATATATGGAAGAAGGTTCAGTTTTCCATAATACTGCAGAGCTCCCTCAATTCAACCCCTCCCCCACCCCAGAACCATGCATTGGGTTTGAAGCGTCACTTAAAGATTTTTAGCTCTATGGTAGTGAAGAGAACTTTCAGAATATAACTGATGCAAGGTTGCGTTCCAGAATCTGCCAACAGCCTGAAACAGCTGTGTGAACTGTTCTTATTTATCTATGGGGGGTTAACGAATAATTACATTATAGTTTAAATGTTGGCATGAATTATTTTACTGCTGCTTATTTTAGCAACACTAAAATTTTCTAAATTTTAGAAACACTAAGCTAATGTGCTTATGGATGGCAATATTTGGGTGGGGGACTGTGGGGCAACTGACTTCTGTCAAGGGTTGCTGGATGACAAATTTAAAAATTCAAGCCCCCTTCAAAACTAAATCGCCTCTAACCCTGCCCACAAAGTGAAGGGAGTTTGCAGTTTGTCACCAAATTGAGCACTAGAATGCCACAGACATCAGAGGCATTACCACAGAATATAGATTCAGGTAACTGCGGAGTATATTGGAGTGGGACACTTGTCTATTTAACAATCTTGGTTGAGGCTCAGTTAAAAAATCAGTGTATCTGATCCTGTAGAGTGCCTGGAAGAGCTGGGGTGTCTTGTTGAGTCATACGGCATGAATGTGTGCCAGCCAACTCCTGGCAAAGCGTTAAAGGAGATGGCAATTCACATTGGCGACCGAGACAACACTGTCCGCAATGCTGCACTCAACACCATCGTGACTGTCTACAATGTGCATGGGGACCAGGTGTTCAAGCTGATTGGAAATGTGAGTAATTGGAAATGGGAAGAGGTAGCCTGAACCAGGTTTTAATCTTGTGTAAAGGAATCATTCACACTGAAGTGGTAATGATCAATCACGGCACATCCTGCTGCTGACAGTGGGATAGATGCCAAGAGCTCTACTTATGGTAATCTACCATGACACATCCTTTAAAAGTTGATTGGTTAATTCCAGATTATGGGACCTTTAATCTCCAGTAACCATAGGTGACAAAATAGAATACTGAAGGAATAAGTAAATGCCGACTGTGATCCCTTCATAGGGGACTGTATTGTTTGTAAATAGTGACTTACTTTAGAATGATGTGATGCCTCTGGTGATTTCGGAGGAACCTTGGATGAAGTTCTAAGCCAGGGGTGGTCAAACTACGGCCCATGGGCCGGATCCGGCCTGTTAAGGCTTAGGATCTGGCCCGGGGGATTGCCAGCCCCGTGGCACAGTGGAACTAAGGCAGGCTCCCTGCTTGCCCTGGCCCTGCGCTGCTCCCAAAAGCAGCTGACACCGTGTCCCTGTGGCCCCTGGGTGAGTGAGGACTGAGGGCTCCGTGCACTGCCCTCCTGCAGGCACTGCCCCCTCCCGCAGCTCCCATTGGCCAGGAATGGGGAACTGTGGGAGCTTTTGGGGAGGTACCCACAAGCGAGGCATGCGGAGTCCTCTGCCCTCCCTCCCCCAGGGGCTGCGGGGATGTGGTGCCAGCACTTCTGGGTGTGGCGCGGGGCCAGGCAGAGAGCCTGCCTTAGCCCCGCTGCGCGCTACTGCTATAAACCCTTTTGTGTATTCCAAATGAGGCATAAAACCAGCTGTAGCAATTCTTGTCTTGATGGCTTGTTTCTTTGAAATAGGAATTCATTTAATCTAACCTTCCACTCCAGCACTGCTATTTATATGCTGACGTAAGACTCCTTCAATTTCCCTTGGCTCCTTTCATCTGTACCAACTCATTCAACTGATTTAATACTTTGAGTGGACAGTGTGTTTGGTTGGCATCGCTTGCTCTTTCAGCAAGTATAGCCTCTCCTAGCTATGTCAGTGCACCTTGTCCTGACTTGCATCATATGTTGCAAGGAATGGGTGGCAAGAGACCAGTCTCTCTCGATGCTTCCAGCTATTGTAACCATGTAATAAAACTATAATTTAAAACAACTGCTTTGGTGACCACTAACTCCTAAAATTTCTGGGGGGTTTTGTTTAATTAAAAAAACCTAGAAAATTTGCTGACAAAGAACTTTGTCAAAGCAGAGTTACAATTGCTGTGGTATATCATGCTCTTCCAGAAAGTAGAGTTCAGCAAAACTTGGTCATGTGAAAAACAGGGAATAGTGAAGGTATGTGTTGATACAACCTTAACTCTGCCTCTTCAAGTGATGTCCCAATATGTCCTCAACACGCACGTGTGCTGTATTTAACAGGAGCTACCTACACTTACCCTAATGGTTCAAGTGTATGGCATGTCTACACTACGGGATTACTCCAAATTTACAGAATTCGATTTTGGGCAACCGATTGTATAAAGTCGAGTGCATGCGGCCACACTAAGCACATTAATTTGGCGGTGTGCGTCCATGTACCAAGGCTAACGTCGACTTCCGGAGCATTGCACTGTGTGCACTATCCCATAGTTCCCGCAGTCTACCCCGCCCATTGGAATTCTGGGTTGAGATCCCAATGCCTGATGGGGCAAAAAAAATTGTCGCTGGTGGTTCTGGGTACAGCCTCTCCCCTCCCTCCGTGAAAGCAACGGCAGACAACTGTTTCGCGCCTTTTTTCCTGGGTGAACTGTGCAGACGCCATACCATAGCATGGAGCCCGCTCAGCTCAAGACAGCAGTCATGAACATTGTAAACACCTCGCGCATTATTGTGCAGTTTATGCTGAACCAGAACCTGGAAAACCAGGCGAGGAGGAGGCTGCGACTGCAGCACGGCGACGAGAGTGATGAGGACATGGACATGGACACAGAATTCTCTCAAACTGCGGGCCCCAGCGCTTTGGAAATCATGCTGTTAATGGGGCAGGTTATAGCCGTGGAACGCTGATTCTGGGCCCGGGAAACAAGCACAGACTGGTGGGACCGCATAGTGTTGCAGGTGTGGGACGATTCCCAGTGGCTGTGAAACTTCTGCATGCGTAAAGGCACTTTCATGGAACTTTGTGACTTGCTTTCCTCTGCCCTGAAGCGCCAGAATACCAAGATGAGAGCAGCTCTCGCAGTTGAGAAGCGAGTGGCGATAGCCCTGTGGAAGTTTGCAACGCCAGACAGCTACCAGTCAGTCGGGAATCAATTTGGAGTGGGCAAATCTACTGTGAGGGCTGCTGTGATGCAAGTAGCCAAAGCAATCACTGAGCTGCTGCTACCAAAGGGAGTGACTCTGGGAAATGTGCAGGTCATAGTGGATGGCTTTGCTGCAATGGGATTCCCTAACTGTGGTGGGGCGATAGATGGAACCCATATCCCTATCTTGGCACCGGAGCACCAGGGCAGCCAGTACATAAACCGCAAGGGGTACTTTTCAATAGTGCTGCAAGCACTGGTGGATCACAAGGGACGTTTCACCAACATCAACGTGGGATGTCTGGGAAGGGTTCAGGACGCTCTCGTCTTCAGGAACGCTACTCTGTTTAAACGGCTGCAGCAAGGGATTTACTTCCCAGACCAGAAAATAACTGTTGGGGATGTTGAAATGCCTATAGTTATCCTTGGGAACCCAGCCTACCCCTTAATGCCATGGCTCATGAAGCCATACACAGGCAGCCTGGACAGTAGTCAGGAGCTGTTCAGCTACAGGCTGAGCAAGTGCAGAATGGTGGTAGAATGTGCATTTGGACGTTTAAAGGGTCGCTGGCACACGTTACTGACTCGCTCAAACCTCAGCCAAACCAATATTCCCATTGTTATTGCTGCTTGCTGTGTGCTCCACAATTTCTGTGAAAGTAAGGGGGAGACCTTTATGGCGGGGTGGGAGGCTGAGGCAAATCGCCTGGCCGCTGATTACACGCAGCCAGACACCAGGGAGATTAGACGAGCACACCAGGAAGCGCTGCGCATCAGAGAAGCTTTGAAAACCAGTTTCATGACTGGCCAGGCTACCGTGTGAAAGTCTGTTTTTACTCCTTGATGAAAACCCACCCCCTTGATTGACTCGTTCTCTGTAAGCAAACCACCCTCCCCCTTCGATCACAGCTTGCTTGCAAAGGAAATAAAGTCACTATCGTTTAAAAATCATGTATTCTTTATTAATTGATTTTAAAAAGAGGGAGAGAACTGACAAGGTAGCCTGTGTGGGGTTTGGGAGGAGGGTAGGAGGATCTTGCTTGAATGCCAGCAAACACCGGGACCATACGCTGCCAGGCTTTGTCATGCAATGATACCAGATTACTTGCTACTAGCATGGCGTGGTCAAGTGTCCTACCATGGAGGACGGAATAAGGCAGCACTGCCCAGAAACCTTCTGCAAAGGCTTTTGGAGTACCTCCAGGAGAGCTTCATGGAGATGTCCCTGGATGATTTCCGCTCCATCCCCAGACACGTTAACAGACTTTTCCAGTAGCTGTACTGGCCGTGAATGCATCCCAAGTCCTCAGGGCAAAGTAATCATTAAAAAAAAGCTTGCTTTTAAACCATGTTTTATATTTACAAAGGTAAACTCACCTGAGGTCCCTTCCATGGGGTCAAAGTCTGAGATAATGCCTTAGGAAGGTACTTTAGTCAGGCTGAGAAAAAGATCCTGGCTGTTGGGGAGAACGGAGTGCTGTGTGCTCTCTGCAAGCTAGTCGTCGTCGTCCTCATCATCATCTTCCCCGTCCGCAGAATCCTCAGGCATGGCTGAGATTATCCCCTCCTAAGAATCCATGGTCAGGGGTGGGGTAGTGGTGGCGGCCCCCCCCTAGAATTGCATGCAGCTCAGCATAGAAGCGGCATGTCTGCGGCTCTGCCCTGGACCTTCCATTTGTTTCTTTGGTTTTCTGGTAGGCTTGTCTGAGCTCCTTAACTTTCACGCGGCACTGTAGTGAGTCCCTATTATAGCCTCTCTCTATCATACCCTTGGAGATTTTTTCAAATGTTTTGGCATTTTGTCTTTTGGAACATAGTTCTGCTAGCACTGAATCCTCTCCCCGTGTAGCAATCAGATCCAGTACCTCCCGTACGGTACATGCTGGTGCTCTTTTTCGATTCTTGGACTGCATGGTTACCTGTGCTGATGAGCTCTGCGTGGTCATCTGTGCTCTCCACGCTGGGCAAACAGGAAATTAAATTTAAAAGTTCGCGGGGCTTTTCCGGTCTACCTGGCCAGTGCATCCGAGTTCAGATCGCTGTCCAGAGCGGTCACAATGGTGCACTGTGGGATAGTTCCCGGAGGCCAATACCGTCGAATTGCGGCCACACTAACCCTAATTCGAAATGGCAATACCGATTTCAGCGCTACTCCCCTCGTCAGGGAGGAGTACAGAAATCGATTTTAAGACCCCTTTATTTTGAAGTAAATGGCTTCGTTGTGTGGACGGGTGCAAGGTTAATTCGATTTAACGCTGCTAAATTCGAACTAAACTCCTAGTGTAGACCAGGCCTTAACCTACTTCGCAGAAAGTACACCACATTTGCTAAATTTTACAACCACTTCATTTTTATGTGCATGATGCCATCTAATGCTATACTTTCATTTACCCTTCATTAAATTCAGTTCACACTAATCTCCCACTTAACTGCTGTCATTCCCCATGGCAAGACGACCCCGGTGCCCCATTACTGATGCAATTTATGCTATGCAGTGATGAAATGAGACATAGTGTATCTCTCAAGGTCCAGATGCATCTCTTCCTTCTGATCACACACGAGTCAGAGAGGGGCTTCCATACACACTCAAAGGGTCACAGCCCCTCAGATCACCTCCTGTCAGTCGCAGCTCTTCCAAGTTGCTCCAACTGATTCTTCCACTGTTCAGTGCATTTACACAGTGAATGCAGCTGGAGGGAATGCAGATAATTCTGAGTGACTAGTGACTATTTCCAGCTTGGTGGGAGGGGAGGTGTGGAGTTAGTTGCCTGGGCACGCACCTTAGCTCTTCACTTCCTGGCTTTCACAAATTCAGGCTTTGCTGAACTTGATGTTCTCTAAGAGCATGAAATACCACCAGGCAACTTTGACTTTGCATAAAGTTTTGTTGTCAGCAAGTTAAGGGTTTCCCTACTCTGTATAACTAAAAAGGTTTGTGGTTTGGCAGTGAGACCTCTCCCTATGCATTATACTAGTCTAATTGGCTTGCCCTCCCAGCTGGTATTTATAGAGTGGTTAAAACATGGAGTTTGTGTACATGTCTGTGTCTGCACTGCTTAGTTGTGAAATACAGCATTCCTAAGAGTGTGTGCAAGTGTTTGGAGGTCCTACATGAAGAATATTATGAGGTGGGAACCAAGGCTGCTGCTACCTTGTCCCTCCTCCCCCCC